GCTTCAAATAAATCATCTTAAAGTAGGTTAACCCTGCATAACCCCCATAGAAAGGTGTTGAACACTTTATTGTTTTTTTTTTCCTGCAGATTGAAGGTTTCCTAAAAGAGATGAAATACAATTAGGTGTTATAAGAATTTTAACATATTATATCAGGATACAAAACCAAGAATTCATTTATGATTGTATTTATCCCACAACTTAAATATAATTATATTCATATTACTTTATTATTTATGGTCTATAAAAATTTTAAAGATACGCAAATCTTATATTTACTCTAAAACGAAATGTGTGTCCCCTTTTCAGTTATAACTCTCTTGTTTGAGTAGTCTATCATCCTCTTTTGTGAAACCACAAAATGTTACATAAACTGTGGTTTATGGAGGTTTTTATGGCAATAATGGCTCCGTTGACCTTATGCCAACGGCACCCAAGGTTTGTTTTTTATTCATTTCGAAAAGCAACAGCCAATTTTTTTTGCAGCTCAGTCATTTAGTTAGAGTTATTTGGATGCAGCTGTGCCATTGCTCTAACTCTAAGCCACAAAAACGTAAGGAGTAAAACTATTGCAGTGACTTGTGCGATAGAAAACAAAATCAAAATGTATGTATTGTAACAAAACCATTAATTATTTATATTTTTGAAAATATTCATCAAATACAAGCCAAGGGGTCTTGTGGGAATTAGGTTTCAATATTTTACGTAGTTTTTCATTGAAATGAAAGTGATGTAGATTGTTTAGATATTTCTCCCCAAAGGGATTGCGTATTGCGTATGATTAATATTGGCACATGTGGGTAAACCACAACACAGGAACAACGATCGTTCAACACACTTTAACGCCCAAATCAATTAACGCTCATTGTATGAAAAATAATATTTATTTATAAATACATATGGATTTGTTGGTAATGTGTCAAATTCTTATGTAAACACTGTGGTCAAACGTGATAAAAATCATCATTGATTACTTTAGAACAAGGTAATATACATTTCCGAATTAACGATTCCTATGATATACAATATGTATGTTCAGGCAATGACTTATTTTTTTATCTTTTTGATGAATTTTAATAATTTCATGCAATACACCCCATATCTAGGGAGATATTTTGTTAAGGTGCCTTTCAGTTTGGTCCTCTGTCGCTTATCGCTTGTATTTTCTCATTGCGGAGAAAACTCAATTTTATTTATTTATATAATTTCAAAATAAAGTCTATTCCCACCCGGATGAAATATTTTAAGACATTTTTTTCGCTCGGCAAATAAATAATTCAAAATATTCATTTGATTACACTATCATCTATCGCCTTGTGAATGTTGGATTCCAAACATCAGACTGTGTGTTGCCTGAGCTGATGAGATTTAATTCAATTTTCCATTCAAAATGGCTTTTATCGTTGCAATCGGCAGCGAGCGTTGGCGGCAGAGGTAATTTAGTGTGTGTTTTTTTTTTTTCATTTTTGCATTGAAAAGCATCAAATGTCATTTTCACCCTTTATTGCCACGAACAACGGCGACGCAGATAATAATGATGATTATGTGCCACAAATGGCAAAACTCATTGACTCCATAGCGATGGATGGGTAGCTGGACGTACGAGTTGATGTAGGGAAAAGCTTTTAAGCTCATTTTTTTGATTTTTGCTTCCATCACATTTACACTGTGTTGTAGGGTCTATCGTACTGGCCAATCATTTTACACAATAATTAGCTTACACCAGACTCCCTTTTAACAGTTTTTATTCGAAAAGTAAGTCTGAGTTACTAAAAAAATTAACATTTGTAGTCTAATCTAGACAATTAGATACAAATTACTACCTTTAATAAGTAGGACAAGTAAAAAAGCAGTAAGTTCGGACGGGCCGAACTTTGAACACTCCAACATTTGGAACAAATTTGGAAATTTTCAAAAAAATAAAATCCGTTAAAAATTCTGTTACAAACTTAAAAGTACCGAATATAGCCATTATATTGGGCTCTATACGAAGACGTGGACCACCATAGGAAACTTTTGCCATAACCCATTATAGTTCGCATTATGAACTCTAAATACAAAATTTTAAACCACTCCGGTGAATAATATCGCTAAAATCATGAAAATACCGAATATTGGGAGCTACCGTTACATAGAGGCTTTATGAAGACGTGGGCCTGCATACCCAATTTTTTGTCATAGGATGCAGTACCCATTGCTAATTCTTAATACGAAATTTGAAACAACTCCGCTGAATCATTTCGAATATCGGGGGTACCGTAGGGCTATACGATATCGTGGGCCTATAAAGACATTTTTCTTCCAGGGGGTACAGATTTTCAGACAATGCCATTAAAAATTAAAGCTAAAATCATCAAAATACCGAATATAGGGAGGTACTGTTATATTGGAGATATACGATATCTAGACCTACATGGCCAATACTCTTGCAGGGGTAAAGTACTCAGAAGGAACTCCTTTTGTTGATTTTCAGACAATTTTATTGAAAAATTTGGCTACAATCCTCAAAATACCAAATGCCGGGGGTACCGTTTAATGGGGCCTATACGATATCGTGGACCGATATAGTTCATATTGACCTGCCTGCAGACAAAAGACTGATCTGAATTTTAGGTTTATTCGTTTTGACTCTAGCGTGATTACAACAGACGGACGGGAGGACAGGACAGAATCTTACGCTGATCAAGCATATATACAGGGTGAGATGAAAAAACTGTAAGCAACTTCAGACTGCTGTCATTTCTAAACCACTCGTCCGACAGCTGTTAAAATTATTCCAGCGACAGCTCATTATGTTGTGTATTTTTTATTGGTCGAAAAATGGCTCGTGAGCTGAACATATCTCAATATTTTATTCGGCAAATATTAACAAGTAAAAAAACATTAATTTCGGCCGGGCCAAACTTTTAATACCCTCCACCTTAGGGTAAAATAAACATTAGAAGAAATGTGCCGAATATCGGGGGGTACCGTTATATGGGGCTACACCAAAATGTTTTGCCACACGAACTAGGACCCATTATGACCAACAAATACCAATTTTCAGACAAATCCGTGAAAAAATGTGGCATAAATCACCAAAAATACCGAATATCGGGAGGTACCGTTATATGGGGACTATACCAGAACGTGGACCGATATATCTCATTTTCAATACCAACCATTCTAGACACAATGCAAGTAGCTCTGCTAAATTTTCGCTCTACGTCAAATAATGTGGGCTGTATCGTGATTTCAACAGACAGACGGACATCGTTAAATCGACTTAGAATTTTATGCTGATTATGAATATATATACTTTATGGGGTCTAAGACGAATATTTAAGGATGTTACAAACGGAATGACAAAGTTAATATACCCTCCTTTCCAAGGTGGAGGGTATAAAAATGAGCTCAGGGAAAAGCCATTGAAATTCCAAAAAGTGCAAGAACTTACATCGCCACAGAAAGAAAATACACTCAATAGAGCGAAAGAGTTGCGTCGCTTGGCCGAAAGTGGTGAACTGCCGAATTTTGTTTTCTCCGGCTATGGTGATGGTGTGGGCCATAACGCCATAACAGCCGATGGTCGCTCTCCTCTCGCACTCAGCACGCGTCACTCAAGAATGGTTACAAAATGAGTTTCCTTCCATCATTTCCAGTGCACAATGGCCACCAAAATCTCCGAATACCAATCCGTTGGAATATTGTATCTGGAGCATTTTGGAAAGCAAGGTTGGCACTAAAAAATACCAAAGTGTCGATCACCTCAAGCAAGCGCTTTGCCGGAAGTGGGCCAAAAAACCGCAGAGCAACATTCAGGCAGCGTGTGACGCTTTCATTGGCCGTTTGCTGGCCAAAATTCGTGCCAAAGGTGACCAATTCGAACAAATCTAAACTCATTCTAAAATTTGATGCTATTTTCGAAATTTTGTGCTTTCATTCAATAAAGTTTAAAAAAATGTAAAAATCATGGCGTTTGACTTTGTTGCAGTTTTTTTATCTCACCCTGTATTTCAAAACTAGAGTTATTGTAGTCGCTTTGTGGAAGTTTGGGAGCTATCTTCGTTTACAGCTAAAATTCTGTAAAATGCGAAGTAAGGTGTTGTATTAAAAAGTGAATATTTTCTGCATACAGCACGAACAAAAAAAAGCGCAAATTGTTTATTTGTCTGAGGAAATTATAACTATAGCTAGCAAGTGAAAACGGTGTTATTAGACCCCACAAAAGCTGGATTGGTCCGAAAAATTGTTTTAAACCTTCAATATACATCAAATTTTGTCGTTACCGTAACATCAAAATGTGATCTTCGATCATATTTCGAGTATAATGAGAACCCGAATTATAAATTTCATTCAAAATTCATCCTGAAATTATTTGCATATGTAAAATCCAGGCGATTTCTATTACCAAACTTGACGTATTCGCAAAGGAATTGATGTTTTAATATTAAATATATACGGCCATAACAACGTTGACATAAAATTTACATTCAAAATTTCAAGCAAAATGAGACTTGGGTGTAAATGGCCGGATTTTGCATTGGTATAGGGGTTGCATTACCGATCCATTTTTAAAACAAACACACTTACACAAAACAACAACTTACTTTTATTTTTTGCTTCACATGACGATCGTGTTTGCCTTTTTTTCGAGTTGTTTGTTTTCATTTTATTTTACGGCTTTTGCTTTATTAACAATTTTCGTCTACTGTATTATTTTTTTCCTCTGTTGCTGTTGATGTCTGATGATTGGGACGGTACTGACAAACAAGTTTGGTAATTGATGGAACAAGGGAGAGGTGCAACAAATGACAGACTACGGGCTTTATTTTTTTTTTCGTTTTTGTACCTATTTCGAGTTGGTTCGGTTGTGCGCTGGCTGAGGTGTTTTCGTAATGGTAGTGTTGGTCGTTCGGTTTGTTGGTTGCTTGGATGAATTGTTTTTGTTTTTTTTTTTTTAAGTTGCTTGCTGGATTGTTTTTGTTTTTCGGTCCACAACACACAGTCATACAAAAAATAATTTTAACAAATCTGTAGAAAAATCTGAAACTCAATGCCCGAGCAATTGCAGACGTAGAGTGGCAGTCGTTGTATTAAGACGTGTTTTGCGGATCCAAAACCACAACCAACCAACCAACCGCTTCCAATCCAAGTTTTTAGTTCAATAATTGTAATTGTATATCTCCAAAACAAAACTAGTTTCATATTTCGTTTTATTTTGCAAACCAGAAACTGAAGTCAAGCTTAAACTGGAGAAATAAATAAATTAAAGAAATAAAAAATCCTTTTACTTTTTATTCGTAACCATTTGCAAAGAAAAGTTTTTCAAATCAGAAGAAAGAACTTGTTTTTTTAATAGAAACTGAAACCGAAGCAGTGATATATTTGTGATTTTTTTTGATAATTTTATTTTTGTTTTTAGTTAAGGATATATAAAGAAAAACATTTAGAAAAGTGTTGCGAAAAAACCTGTGGATATAAGGATATAAGTTACATTTAAATGACCGAAAAGGATACCGCATCAATGACCACCGTCCAAATGAAGGCCGACTACGCCGCTAGCGAGGTTTATAGCACCGCTAGCGAGCCACCACCGGTAAGAATATATATTTTATGAATTATTACCTAAAACTCGTACACAGACACAAATCAATATTTGCAACTAGGTATTATATAGTAGAAGAGACCTGTTCAAAATTGCGTATTTTAGGAATTTCAAATGAATCCTTTATCTGCCCAAGTTAACTCCTTATTCATATTATTAGACACTAAAACGTACACTCTTTTTAGGACATGTTAAAAGGAACTAGATATTTTATGCCGGTATCTAAACTGTGACTCTTTGGAGTACTAAAGATTTCGAAATAGTTTCAAAATTATATAAATATGTTTATTATTAGTCCACTAATTGACATGTTCCCTTTCTAACAGAATTTGTATAAATTTGGCATTTGAGTTTCAGAGATATTCTGTTTTCTGGATATTCGAGTGGTTTAAGCTGCAAATCTCAAAAAAAAAAAAAAACTGATTACAATTTGGTAATTTGTGTTCGCCTTGAAGGAAAATCTGAGCTGTAAAACCGATTCAGATTAAATACACAGGCTTTATATAGCGTTAGTGACCGATTTTAGGTACTTGTGCTCACACTTCCAGCCCAAGTGGATACAACTGGTATTTTAAAATCTTAAAAGGTGGAGCACAATATGGAAAAGAAATCCCCGCTGATTTAGGTTTTGAAATGCCCCCAAATGTTCCTATTTTGAACGTAGAAGTCTCATTTTTTATCCAGACGGTAAAAAATTGGTATTTTGGATTCACAACCGGTAAAAACTACCTTTAGAGGTTTTCAGTATTTACGTGTAACGGATTACACATCGACAATCTATTTGGTTGTAATCCAAGAGGCTATAAAAAAATAGGCACGGCAATATTATCACAGGCATTATTCTATCACAGTCTCTCTCAAATGATATTTGAAGACAATAAATGTCAAATCAGTGACTTAATGCTGTTTACTGACTGGAATAATTAATGAAGGAAAGGAAGAAAATAAAATGCTAATAGATTGTTCTTAAGTCAGTTATTGTTTGTGGGTGAGATAAAAAACTGCAACAAAGTCAAACGCTATAATTTTTAATTTTTTTCTTATTTTTATTGAATGAAAACAAACTGCAGAATAAGTTTAGATTTGTTCGAATTGGTCACCTTTGCCACGAATTATGGCCTTCAAACGGCCAATGAAACCGTCACACGCTGCCCGAATGTAGCTCTGCGGTGATCTTGATATGGTATTTTTTAGTGCCTTGCTTTCCAAAACACTCCAGACACAATAGTTCAACGGATTGGTATCCGGAGATTTCGGTGGCTATTGTGCGCTGGAAATGAAGCGAGAAACCTCATTTTGTAACCATTCTTGGGTGGCGCGTGCTGAGTGCGATGGTGCTGAGTACTGTTGGTATGGTAATGCTCCCTCCAGAATATTTTCGCGATAATATTCGGCATTTATTCTGATGCCACGGCCGATTAATACGAGCGGAGAGAAACCATCGTCTGGTATAGCGGCCCACACAATCACCATGGCCGGCGCTTGAGTTCTGTTGGCCAACCGAAGGTTCACATTTTCAGCTAACCTCTTTGGCAAGTAAACACGATCATTTTTTTTTTTACAAACTGCTGGACGACGAATGTTTTCTCATAGGATAAAACCAAATTCGGCAGTTCACCACTTTCGGTCAAGCGAAGCAACTCTTTAGCTCTTTTGAGTCTATTTTATTTCTGTTGCGATGTAAGTTCTTGCACTTTTTGGAATTTCAATCGCTTTACTCCAAACTCGGAGATTTTTCAACATTTGCCGAATGGAATATTGCGATATGTTCAGCTCACGAGCCATTTTTCAGTCACTGCGACGCGTGTTTCGATCAAGTCGCTTCTTCACTTTTCGAACCATTTCTGTTGATGTTGCTGTTTTCTTCCGTCCATTTCCTTGACGTCGGGCTACGCTATCAGTATCACGGTAACGAGCAATGGTACGAGACACAAAAGATTTATTTACCTTTAAATGCTGGAGTGCTCTAACGATAGCCACTTGTGGTTTTCCAGTCAAATATAAAGAAATCACACTGACACGCTTGAATTCTGGAAAATTGTCACCAAAATGCTTTTGTACGCTTGTAAACAATATAATAATAACAAATTATTCCAGTGACAGGAATAATTCTAACAGCTGTCGAAAAAGTGGCTTAGAAATGACAGCAGTCTGAAGTAGGTTGCAATTGTTTCATCTCAACCTGTACAATCATGACAGAAGAATGAAGGCAGTCGTATCGACACAGCTGCTGGGACAATGAAATGTCAAACGAATTTTGGAATGGAAATTTTCGAATGAATAATTCAATTAAATTCGTTAAAATTGTTGAAAAATACATAACGTAACAACTTCCGATTGGCGTCGTATAAGAAAATATATGAAAATCTACTTATTTCTGAAATAACATTTCAAAATTGTTGATACATTATGTAACCAAGCGTTGATCCATCCACCTGCATTTTTCTACAATGATATGCAATAATAGGCTTTTTTCCTGCAACAATTGCATTTGACTTTCAGTGTGGAAATTTGACAAGTGCGTATAGACGCCGTCAAAATTTTCATTTGGTTGACATTTTACTCGAAAATCGACATGACATTTTCCTGCACAAAAAAAACTAATTGATGAAGAGTTTAAATAGATTAAAAAGTAAAATGTATTTTTATATTTTGTTACGTCTTTCTCATATTTAGCAGCATATATTTCTTCAGAACATTCGATTTTCAAAAGTTGTGTTTTCACTTTAAAACGAGGTACCTACTAAAGTAAATCAATGCTCTTTTGCTTATCTTGCTTTCAAAACTTTAGCCGTCGGCCAAAGTGCCGGTCGGCCAATAACTTCTTCAATTTACATCTAACTAAAAATAATAGTTTTGTATTTTGGTTCTTACTAAAAAAAATTACTTTGATCCAAGTTTCATATAAATAGCCATGCCCTCATGCAATAAAACTATTCAAAATGACCTTTGGAACCGAGTTTTTACTTTCCGTTGTAAGAAAACCTTGAATCTGGGTTACTGGGTTTTGTTTTGCTTTACGCTTTGTTGCTTAAAACGAAATATTTTTTATGTCGGATTCTCAGCTCAGTCTTTGATTGCATACAACCCGACTCTTAAATAACTAGTCAGTCATTCAGTCAGTAATTTAGTCAGTACATACATATGCACATAAAGCGATTTGATAGATGTAAAAACAGAATGATGTTTCTTCTGCATCGTTTCCAAGTCTCTTTTTTTCGATTTTCCTCAAACTCGTGTGGATGTTTTCAAAAAGAGCTGCGTGCCAGTTTCAAAGTTTTCTTCTTCCATTAAAAATGGAAAACAAAAAAAAAAAAAATGCCATGGTCATTTAATGCTTGGAAAATGAGTTTGTTAATTTTTTTTTTCATTTTCATTATAAATACACAGTCGGTCTTAAGAACTCTTCAAGATATCGAGGTGATTCTGAGAAACTAGTCACGTTTAATAAAATTGTATGGCGAATGATCAGTATTTTTGTTTGATGCATTAAAATATACTTATAATTTTGCATTTTTTAATTGGCATCCTAATACCAATTTTTGATAGATTTTTTTTTAAGTTCTTGAAAAAAAATCCTGCGAAAAGAAACAAATATATTGAAAGTACTTCTGGCAAAAGGTACCGCAGAATTTATTAAATTTCGTTTTTCGAAACCTATAGGAAACACATTTATTAACATCAATTCAATTCATATAGAAATTAATGATATGAATTGCATTCCCTATTTGTAATGGAGAGAATAAAAAAAACATATCATCTAAAAAACTGAAACAATAGTAAACAAATGAAAATAATATTTAGCAATCTTAAACAATGAAATGTATTGTAATATTTTACAATTTCATTACAACGTAAATCTAAATGTTGAACCTTTAATAAGATAAAGAAGACACTTTGTTTGTTTAATGAGTTCACCTGATGATGAATTAGTTGCAACAATTTATACATTTACTGAGTAACAGCGTAATATACACAATGTTAAAGCTATTCCATGAGCCTTGACCGCTCTATATGAGCCAAATAAATTGTGTCAAAAGATTAAAACTGTTGTTGTAGGTTGTTGGAAACAATCACTTACAACATTTATTTTGAGCAAGTGTGTCTGGTAAACGCCATAATTTTTACATTTTTTTTTAATTTTATTGAATGAAAGCAAAAAATGTCGGAAACAGCATCAAATTTAAAAAAAAAAACTTTAGATTTGTTCGAATTGGTCACCTTTGACACGAATTATGGCCTTCAAACGGCCCATGAAACCGTCACACGCTGCCCAAATGTTGCTCTGCGATTTTTTGGCCAATTCTCGGCGAAGCGTTTGCTTGAGGTGAGGGAAACTTTGGTATTTTTTAGTGCCAACCTGGCTTTCCAAAATACTCCAGACACGATAGTCCAACGGATTGGTATCTGGGGATTTTGGTGGCCATTGTGCGCTGGAATTGAAGCGAGGAACCTCATTTTGTAACCATTCTTGGGTGGCGCGTGCTGAGTGCGATGGTGCTGAGTCCTGTTGGAAAGTCCAAGTCTGCTGCCAAAATGTTTGCGTGCCCAAGGTTTTAGTACATCCTTCAGAATATTTTCGCGATATTATTTGGCATTTATTCTGATGCCACGGTCGATTAATACGAGTGGAGAGCGACCATATGCTATTATGGCGGCCCACACCATCACCATTGCCCAAGGTGCACATTATCAGCTGACCGCTTTGGCAAGTAAACACGACCATTTTGTTTGTTTACAAATTGCTGGACAACGAATGTTTTCTCATCGGAGAAAGCCAAAATCGGCTTAAAATCGGCCAAAGCTTAACATTTGTTAACTTTACGTTCTACACTGAGCATATAGGCTTCGTGAAACAAAATATCCTCCATCCCATTTTAAACAAAGAACAAAAGAGGTCTTATTTTCAAAATGTTTAAAACTAAACCTATTAATATTTGAAATAAATTGCCGAAATATATTTCTATATTTGTACATATGTGCATATGTATGTGCACATAATACATACATACTATCATTAACACGATTATTCTCGAATAAAAATCTTTATAATGTTCTGAAGCAAAAAAAAAACCTGCAGATTGATGCTAAATAAAATGCAATCTCAGATAAAACTAGCTTTGAGACAAAAACAGACAACCAATGACGGAACGTGACATTTTCTTTAATTAAGTTAATAAAAACCTGCAAAAAGCACAACGCATACCCCAAAAACGATTTGGTAACAATTTGAAATTGTCGGCGAAATGTATCCAAATGTGATCTCTAAGAGGAACTTTTACGTTAACAAGTGTCAAAAATATAATTTTTCAACGGTACGTATATATATGTGCAGCTTACAGTCATTGGGGCTTCAACATGATTTGCATTTCAATGATATTTAATGGGAAACGTTGTGTACTGTAAATGTACACATAAGACCTCACAAAGATAAATGGTAAGCACAGATAGGCCATCACCGGTTCAGCGAATGCGAATTTAGCAACATCATCTTTCTAATGACTGGAGTGCCTTCGTATGCTTGTCTGACTTATGAACAGAAAAAAAGCAACAACAGTTGTCGGAAAAGTAATGTTGTTGATGATGACGATAAAACAATCACCTGTTTTGGCAAAAATTATTATTATTTTTTATAAAGCTAATGGTACAGGGAACCCATGCCATGTGAGCTGTACTGGTAAATCCAAACAACAACAACAAAAACACGTTGCCATAACTAAAATGTAAATTTTGTTAAATTGCATTGGACGACGACCACGACGCCGACGTCAATGACGCCGAAGATACCGACAATGTGCCCATTGCAAGCAACGTTTTATGATTACGACCAGATAAGAGTACTTAAATATGCGCAACAAATGCAAAAGTCGTTTATTATCGTCGTTTATTATCTAAAAGCTCTTTGCAAATTTGCATGGACTTTGCATTCACAATTCGTTTCAATTTCAGTGGCTGCAATCCGTTCGTCTTTGGCTTGTCTGCGAATCCGGTCAAAAATGGATGACGCATGTTATTTTGCCGCTATGGCGGACTATAATCTTGCGACATCGAAAGTCATAGGCCTAAAATAGTAGTTCCACAAGGCAATGCTGCAGGCGGATGGTGGATATTAATTAACAGAAAAGACTCAAATGCAAAGTGTAAATATACGTGTCTCTTTTTCTCATAAGAGAATTAATTGTTGTTTTTATCACTCATGGGTGTCATCACTTCTATTTTGGCCACCTTTCCATTTTAATGGAAATACACGGAGAAAAACAAGATTATTACTCGCGACAGTAGTTTGAACATGCTTAAAATAATTTATCGCAATATGTTATATGAGCCTTGTTAAATATATAAATTAAATATACAAATCTTGTTTTTAGAGAATTTTAATATCTGTTAGTCGTGGATTTAAATGGAATGTTTAAAATGACTCTCAAAAATATTTTTGTGTATTTTTTAGGATTTGTTGACAATCGATTTTGAAGTATTGTTTTTCCAATGAATATTAATCTGCATCCAAAATATTTTACAATTTGCTATTTCTATTTATTCTTGGCCAAAAAAGCTATCGATATTTTTATACAGGGGTGAGAAAAACTGGAAAAAAGTAAACCGCGATAATTTTTACATTTATCTTAAAATTTTATTGAATGAAAGCAAAAAATTCCGGAAATAGCATCATATAAGTTCAGATTTGAAAATGGTCACCTTTGGCACGAATTTGGTCTTAAAACAGTGCCCGAATGTTGCTCTGCTGCATTTTGCCCCATTCCCGGCGAAGCGCTTGCTTGATGTGATCGACACTTTGGTATTTTTTAGCGCCAACATTGCTTTCCAAATTACTCCAGACACAACAGTCTAACGGATTGCTATCCGGAGATTTTGGTGGCTATTGTGCGCTGGAAATGAAGCGAGGGACCTCATTTTGTAACCATTCTTGAGGCACAAAAGATGTATTCACATTTAAATGCTGGAGTGCTCTAACGATAGCCACTCGTGGTTTTCCTGCCAAATATAAAGAAATCACACTGACACGCTTGAATTCCATCACAAATAACTTTTTTTTCTGGAAAATTCTCACCAAAATGCTTTTGTAGGCTTTTAAACAATATGATGAGCTCTCACTGGAATAATTTTAACAGCTGTCGGACAAGTGGCTTAGAAATGACAGCATTCTGAAGCTGGTTGCAGTTTTTTCATTGACAATCATATTCAGTGGAAAGTCTTCAATTAAAAAAAACAATGTTTTTTTATGAAAATTAGAAGGAAGTCCCAAAAAAGCTGTCGAAAAACAAAATTAATATGTTTATATTTATTTCAACCGGATTTTAAACTATATCCTTTCTTTACAAAATATGACTCTAGGTTATGTACATTTTCAAAAAATCGTTTTCTAATTGGATCAGTGTTAAAAAATAAATTATAATTTATTTGTCCCAATTTAATATTTGAATTTCTCCCAGTGCAAATTATTTTAAATATTCATGACGTGTTGAATAGCTACTGGTCATCATTCCATTATTTGTTGGTATATGAAGCACACACACGTCTTTTGTTATTCTCATATTTTTTTGACCACATAGCGTGTTATTTGTATCATATTCACAAAAATACTTTAAATATGGCATACCATTAATAAAATTGAAATCAATCAGTTCCGGCAGCCGACTGCCATTGTGGACTTAATGCGCCATTAACATTTCAAAATATTGTTTTCGAACATAAGCTACCAAAAAATGAATTGAACTCCAAAAATATAAGCCTGCAATTATAGGTAATTAAAAAAGTACGATTAATATTTTCAAGAAACAACACGTTCAATTCTCTATTAATTGTTTGGGAAAGTCACGATTCTGATTTTTTTTGCAACGAAAATGTGAAAAAATTTCCAATTGACATTTTAATTTTTTTTATATTATTCCACAAATATATTTAAATTTTGTTTTTTTTTTTTCTTGAATCTTATGCTAAATTGATTAACAATGTTTTCATGGCATAAGATTTAAATATGCAAATTCATTTTAATGTAACATTTTTTATTTTATAATTTATTCCATTACATATTGGGGGTTTCCCAACGCAATTCTTGCCAGGCGTTTTAAGAATTGACAGTGGGTTCTCTTTGTGCATTTATCTTGGTTGTAAAATATTTTTTTTTCTTTGTCTGCTAAATAGGAAATTAATTCGGTGTTCATTTGAACATTTGCTCGTTGTTTTTTTATTTGCAATTACTTTATTAAATTTATTACACTAGAAGTTGTAGTTTAACCTGTTTCTTTTAACTGAGCATTGATTTGCATTACGTATTTGAATGTTTGTCAGAAGGCACAGAGCGCCTCGTAATTGAGTTCGATGTATACAATGGTATGTTGAATATTTAAATATTCGTTGGACGTTAAGGCCACTGGCTGGTTGCAATAAAATCAAACTTAATTCACAATAAACAAATATATTTCCTTGCTATTTTATTGACAAGATATGGGCTGACGACTTCAGGCTTGTTTTAGTCATCAAAAATTAAAAAACATAACAAGTCAGACCTCATCAGAAGATAAATTAACATATATAAAACATATGGAATTAGAAGTTCACTAAATCAATGCCTTAAACTGAAATTGGATTAGGTTCTTTGAAATGCAACACATTTTATTGTTTATCGACGTTACATTAGAAATCACTTTGACTGTGGAGATTTGATACGGAGACCTAAGAAAATACAGTATTTGTACACAACAATTTTATTTAAATGCACTACCTTAATTTTATGTTAAATATGTCAACAATTGGACACACTTTAATGTATATATAATTTTTAATGCATTATATATTTCTAAAACGATTTCTACTTTTCTCTTTTTTATATTCTTTTTTACAAATATCTACACCCAAATATTTGTGTGTTTGTTGGCAAATAATTTGTTGTACCATCACCACCCGCCTCTCATAAATCCATTTATCCACCAAAACTCCTATCCTACACACCAATCAACCAACCAACCAACCGCAACGTGATGGTATATTGGAATCTCCCTTCACTTGTGGCAAAACCGACCATTGAACCAACCAACCAAACAACCAACCAATCCAACAAACATTTGAATTGCCCTCAAAATCACAATCAAACAATTGCAGCTGGGATTTTTTAATTTTAATCCTCCACAGGTTTGTTGCTTAAGTCTTTCGTTCAGTTCACTCGTTCAGCACCAAACAAACAAAAAAAACAACTCATTTTCATATTTGTGTCTTGTGTTACTTCTTCTCTTGTATTGGCTGTCTCTTTCTATGTGGCTTCTCATTTCCATTTTTCTTGCACAAATAATAAATTCAACTTTCGCAATTGCACCTTTGTTTCACCCAGACAGCAGCACTACACCTTATGAAGACAAAAAGTAATATATAATTAAAATGTCATTTTTTTATCTTCATTTTCTTTCTTTCTTTCTTCTTTATTTTATTTTGGCAAAATAATACTTTGAGACTAAACCCTACGTAGCTAGATGTTGTGTTGTTTTCCAAAAACCTTTGAACAATGCATTATTCAGTGTTGTAGCAGACAATTAGTTGCTGTAGAAACAAAACAAAAAACCTACTATAATTTACTAATGATGCCTTGGTGTAACCATTAAGTAGTTGATAGAAAAAAGTAATAAAAAATTAACTTAATAATGAGAAAGGTTATAAAACAAATGATTATGAAGATGGCTTTAGACATTCACTTTTTTTGTTGATGTGGGTATTACCAAAGCCGGCCTCACACAAAAACTATGGAGATGTCGTGAAACAATATTCATAATTAATTACAGATTACTTTGTGTGTGTGTGTGTATTTGCACATGTTAATTAATTTTAATATAAACAACACAAAAAAACACACACGTAAAGCAATTATATAGCTTGAATGTGGCTTTGCGTTGGCATTATATCGTCTTGGCAATATCGAAAAAGTTTTTTATTTTCACACCCTTTTTTAAAGCCGGCAATTTAAAGCAATTGTTTTGTTTTGCTTCATAAGTGTATTCATTATTTGGTAAATATCGCCCAAAAAGCAAACATTTTTAGTTAGCTAAGCTGTCAATAATAAAGCGAGGAATGAATATGTTAATTTTTCTAACCTTAACTGGGAGTGCCAAAAAATATTTTCTTATGATACATTAACAAATAGCCATGTATTTACAAATTCTATGGGAAATCTGTTAACAAATTTTGTCAATAATCGGAGGAATACTTTAATTTATTTCCTTAAATTACGAAACAATTACCGGAGTAGATTTTATTGTTTCAGAATTCAGATTTCAGCGTTTGCCTCTTAGTTTTTAAAGCACGTTTTAGTTTGCATTTTTTATACCCTCCACCATAGTATAGAGAGTATATTAAGTTTGTCATTCCGTTTGTAACACCTCGATATATACATTTTAGACACCACAAAGTATATATATATTCTTGATCAACTTAAAATTCTATGTCGATTTAGCGATGTCCGTCCGTCTATCCATTTGTGGAGATCATTCTAGCTTCCGAACGAAATGAAGTAGATTGATAAAATTTTACTCAAATGTATATTATGTCTGCAGGACTTTTGGTAGGTCCACGTTTTGGTATAGCCCCTATATAACGGTACCTCCCGATATTCGGTATTTTGATGATTTTAGCGACATTTTTCACCGGAATTGTTACATATTTGGTATTTGGTGTTCGTAATAGATGTTACAGCCTATGACAGGAGATTGTCTGTGCAGGTCTTCGTCTTCGTATAGCCCCCATATAACGGTACCTCCCGATATTCGGTATTTTGATAATTTTAGCTATATTATTCACCGATTTTTTTTAAGTTTCGCATTTGAATATTGTAATGGCTTATGACAAAAATTGCGTATACAGGTCCATGTCGTCGTATATGCCCTAATATAACAGATACATTCGGTAGTTTTAAAAATTTAACAGAATTTTTAACGGATTTTTTTGTTTTTGGGAATTGCCAAATTCATTCCAAATGGTGGAGGGTATTCAAAGTTCTTTCCGGCCGAACTTACTGCTTTTTTACTTGTTATTCTTAAAGTTCGAGTATAAAAGTTCTCTGTCTTAAAGTGCATCGAAATAAAAGTGTACAGATTATTAAAATCATATTTTAAATATTTAAAAGGGTTTAAACATACTTTTAGAAGTTATTTGTCTGCAATATGGCCATTCTAAGGTTTTACTAAATATATTTGTTGTGTATTGTCTTTAGACTAATCATTATTTCAAATTCTAGATTCATTTATACACTACTGATTGATTCAGAATGAATAATGAAGAAGCTTAGTTTAAAAATTTATTATAATGATAACACTTCATATAGAGCATGACTCTTTACGAGTAAAAAGTCCGCTTTATTCCAAGAAAATATAAAACTTAATTCCATCGAATATTTATGGCACAAACAAATTATATGTCGACCATAAAAACAGCTATTACACAAAATACAACGCAATTTGTCATCCCCCCGTGATGGCACAGCACTTTGAGATAAAACACTTTAAGCCGATACTTAATTGCTTGCTGTTCGTACCATTAATTTGCGAGCGTTAATTCAATTAAGAAACAAAAGTATTCGCAAAAAAAGTCTTAACAACATTTAAAATTTTTTCAATGCTTTATTATTGTTGCACAAACAAAAACCTTCCAACTTCATTTGAATGGAATAAATATTGAATTGTGAACTTGAAATTCGAGTATACAAACAGATGAGGCCATCATATTTATGGCGTGGTAAACAAATGTTCCAATTTCACAATGACTCAGTTTTTTTTTTTATTTAAATTGAAAAAATGCAATTTATACAGAAAGTTGGAATCGGAGAAAAAAACACCATATGAAATGGGAGAAAGTAATATGTGTAGCATTGAGTTCACAGCGTAAACGGAATTAAAAAAAAATTGCGTCAATAACAATATTTACAGCTTATGTATGAATGGAAGTTTCTTTAGGGAACTCAGCTTTATCGTTACAAGCACTTGATCAGTTATATGAGAGATTTCTACCAAAAAATTGTCATGACAGTTTTCACGCTCTGACACCAAACACTACGAAAAGCAAGAACTAGAGGAAAAAACACAAACATTTTGTTGTGAACTTGTATTTTACTTTTTATCATTATTACAATCAGTGTGACCGTTGTGCCACTAAAGTATCAATTTTGCGACTTTTTTAGGCTTTGATACCGTTGTGCCACTTTTTTATTTTGATCCTAAATGAGCCACTTTTTTGAATTTTTGTGCTACTTTTTTATACATTGTGCCACGTTTTTTAACTACATATATATACGTATATATATTCTTGATCAGCGTAAAATTCTAAGACGATTTAGCCCTGTCCGTCTGTTGTAATCACGCTACAGTCAACACGAATTAAGACAGAAAGTTAAAATTTTGTAGAGATCCCTCTTTTGCCTACAGGTAGGTCAAGTTCGAAGATGGGCTATATCGGTCCACGATATCATATAGCCCCATATAAAGGTACCCCACGATATCCGGTATTTTGATGATTTTAGCCACATTTTCCAATGGAATAGTCTGAAAATCCACACGAGGAGTTTTTTGTGAGCATTTTACTCCCTGAAAGTGAATTGTCTATATAGGTCCACATCTTCGTATAGCCCCCATATAACGGTACCCCCGATTTTCGGTATTTTGATGATTTTAGCGACATTATTCACCGGAATAGTTTCAAATTTTGTATTTAAAGTTCGTAATGGTTACTACATCCAATGCCAGAAAATTGCCTGCGCAGGCTTATGACAAAAGTTGCGTATGCAGGTCCACGTCGTCGTTTTGACCCTAATATACGGCTTCATTCGGTATTTTTAAGATTTTAACAGAATTTTTAATGGATTTTAAATTTTTGAAAATTGCTAAATTCGTTTTAAATGGTGGAGGGTATTCGAAGTTCGGCCCGGTCGAACTTACAGCTTACATATAGATGAATTTGTTGTTTTGTTCTAAACTGTTATTTTTTTAAATAAAATGTGAAATAAATTGTGCCACTTTCTGTGCCACCATTTAAAATTATATGTGGCACTTTTTTCAAGAAATGATACTTTTGGTGACACTTTTTGAAATTTCCAGCGGTCACACTGATTACAATTGTTAGATGTCTAAAAACAACAAAATTTTCAACATTTCTCTCTATCTCTCTCTCTCTCTCTCTCTCTCTCTCTTAAATTAAAAAGTTGTTGTCAATTTCTTTCAATTAAGAGTTCTCTCTTTACATCAAGGGCGGGCAAAGAGTGGCACTTTTATGTTCTCCCAATTTGGTTTCTCTTTCATTACATTGTTTTTCAATGGTTCTGCTTTTTCCTGGCCCTGTAAAATATGCCTCATGACACAATTTTGTGTTTATACCATGATATATGCCCGATTTCTCATTTCACCATCCCAGCTTTAAGGGAATAAACGAAAAACAAAAACATATATCTGTATACGGACAATTTATGAACCAAATTTTTATCTGATTGCACAAAACTTATAAATTTACATAAACTACGTGACGGCCCCCAGAAAAATAACGGAAAAGATTGTACATTGTAAAATGTTAAGTGAATGTGTCAATGTGTGGGTGGTAGTGAGAGAAGTGCACCTATGTGAATGATATCACAATGGAGAAAGTATAAAATTCAAAAAGGCCATATCACAAGACTAGAGGTGAGGGCAAAGTTGTGGGATTTGTAAGTGAAATACATTCTATTATTTGTTGTTGGGAAAGACAAAGAGGCAGATGTAGTTGTAATTTGTTTACTAAATAAGTGTAGTTGTTGTCTTTGTAACTTAATTGTATGGTTGTAATGCATATTATTAACATCTGTAGCTTGCTAACAAATTATTTTTATTGTTTTCCATTTTTAGGCTTACAAACGCCAATCGAATTCAGTGAAAATTGCCAAAATCACTGCATTCACCATCATTGTGTCTTCCTTCATTTTGGGCGCCTTCATTTTGGCTTCGTCCTATTTGCAAGCCAAGGCATCATGCGATCAAGTACAGGCACTTGATTCGGTTTTGGAAAAGGAATTGATGTTGGAAACATTGCAGCAAGTCAATAAGGTAATACGAAATTATTTAAATAGCCACCTTTTTTTGAAGAATGTCGAATAAAAAAAACAATTGAGAATTGTGTAAATTCCCCTAATTAGTATAATTTCACATGTCAGTATAAAACAATAATTAAAAAGTCTAAATTAATTCTCGACAATGTGACTTTTGAACTTTTTATTCAGGTTTTGTAGCTAGAAGCAGTGGAAAAAACAAAATCAACAGCTGCCTGAATAATTATTGGACTTTTACCTAATTTGCACTAGGATAGAAATTGAATAATAAATTAAATTTGCTTTAGAGATTCGAATAAATTTTACAAATTTTTAATACTGATACTCCTGCCAAAAATGTAAAAAGTAAAAAAAATGATAAGAAATATACATTTTAGGAATATATAAAGAAAGAATTATTTTAGTTTTGTTAGCATCACCAAAAAATTATTACATAAATATTATTGTCGGACAGAACCAGCTTTTACTTATTGGAATGTCATATACAATTTATTATTTTAAAATAGATTGCAATTATTTCTAATGAAAATGTTTTTTTTTAGTAGTGCAAAAACAAAAAAAGAAATGGAAGGCGGTCTTCTCTGCCTGAGCTACCAATTCTCACCAGTTTCCTATTTTCTTTGCTAATAATTAAACATTGATTTTATTTTTAAAGACTGCCTAAAAATCTAAATCAAATAGTTAGGGCTTCTTTGAGAATTTCTTGATTGACTTCAACAAATCTGTTCAATGTTTTATTACCTCTTATTCTCAGAGACAAATTATTTAGTATCAAAGATAAAAAAGTGTTTACAAATCGAATCATCATCAACATTTTCTCGGAGTTTTTAAGAACATTAATGTCCATACATTCATGATGAGCAATTAAATGGTAATCTAAAACCACAAAAAATGATTTAAAGTTAATTTTAACAGCAACAACAAAAACCACAATACAAATTATACCAAAGAATACTTAAATAACGATTAGTTTCACAATAGATGAATTGCAGAGACAAACATTTAACCATCACAGCAAATTGTCCGCACGTTTCATTGGTTGGTGGTCCGGTTTGGTCCGGTCCGTACCATGGCACTGATTAGTACTGTTGATGTTGTTGTAGTTGTTTTCATTTTATATCTGGCATTTTTTATCGTCAAGGTTCATCATAATTTGTTGTTGATTTCCAGCAACTGAAAATTGCAAGCTATTTTGTTGCTCCATGGAAACAATGGATTTTCCGCATGCAAATCATTTTGCCGACACAGTACAAAGCAAGACGAAAATATTCATAGCTCCTCATCTAATCGTTTACTTTGATAAATTGCAAAAAAAAAAAAAAAAAAAACAAAAAATCTTTCATAATTATTAAGTATTGTTTGAAGTTTTTCACATTTCCTTCCATTCAAAACAAGTATTGGACACGCGAAAAGTTTTTGTGATTTTTTTTTGAATTACCACAACATCATTATCATTATTGTGTCCGATCAGATGTCCGTAATTACCTCATAATATTGGTCTATTGTTTTTGTTGTTGTCTTTTTTTTGTCATAAATGACCGGGTATTAAACGAAATTAATTTCATGCTTTATTAGTTTCTATTTTTCACAAAACAAAAAATGGAAAAGCCCCAGCATTAACTTCACTAAATGGTCTATAGACTATAATTATTGTGACAGCCAGAGATATATCTATTTATGGAGAGTTAAGAGAGGGTATTGTACACTCAAGCCGACCTCCTCAGGCCATTAAGCGAAAGTTAAATGGCGACTGATGTAAATGAACTTTCGTTCAATAGATTAGAATGTGAAATGATTGACGGGGGGAGGGAGGAGGGCTAAGCAGGCAATGCATTCATTACAGGTTGTGTAATGCATCATGTGACATTTGCCGGTTAAGGTTCGTTGATGATGTCAGTTAGCGTGACAATATTAAGTTATCGATCACATTGTAAACAGAAACGGTTATTGCAGATTTACAAAGTTTTCACAACTTTGAAGTGATTACAAAGTCTGAAACGATTTTTTGAAGTATTACTTCTGTTTAAAAATGCGATAGCCATTTTCCACATTATATATGACATATCTGATGAAAACTAGGGAGCTCTTCCACGCAAAACAAAAGCCTTAAGAGAAAACTCTATATAAAACTCCCACTCTTCGAGTAATCCCTCCACAAAGATAACGAGGAAATCTGTGCTCTGTTTGGTACTGACATTTGGTACTGCCCACTTCATTAAGTACCTCTCCCACAAAGGGTCAAGAATTTGAATAATTATAACTCTTAAAAAATGTGATATAAGTATCCGATTGTCTTCAAATTACTCACATCACAATACTTTTGTTAACCTAAGGTCTGGTGTGAAGATGGAATATATCGATCCATTCCTTCTGGTACCCCCCCCCCCCCCCAAGGTTAAACATTTTGAATACCCATAAAGCTCATAAAACGAGAAATTAACATCTGATTCCATTCACATCTAAATATATCTATCGGGACAAGATCTGTTATAAATATGGTAGAGATTGGACCATTCCTTCTGGTACCTCCCACACAAAGGGTCAAAGATTTGAATAACCAAAACGATCATAAAATTCAAAATAAGCATCCGGTTCCCTTCATATTCCACACATCGCAACATTATCGATAACACGAGATCTGTTTTGACACTTGGCACATCTTCATATTTCTATCAGCACAAGATCTGTACAGGTCGTACCATTCCTTCTGGTACCTCCCACTCAAAGGATCAAAGTGTTGAATAACCAAAACTATCATAAAATTCGAAATAAGCATCCATAAGGGTAATATAATAAGTAAATATATATTTAACATAGCCATTAGCCGTATTTATAATACGGAATTTAAGTACTCGGAACTGGTGATTCTAATCGACAACACTGCTATCTTAGCCAAAGACGTTTCGTCTGGATATCAATGATACATAACTATTTTCTCGGATTCATCTCTTACTTAACACTTGTGAGTTTGAAATATATTATCCAACTATTGTTGAGTTTTAATTTTTGTGGAGAGAGGAAGATATGTGACATCATCTAAACGCCCACATAATTTCAGCAACACACAGGAAGGCATAAACCACTACAATCGCATTTATTGATGCGATACGGTTCATGACAATTGGCAAAAAAAAAAAAAACGAAAAAAATCGTTTCATAAAATCAACTAGCCACAAAAACTAAAATGGACACATCTATGGATGTCTGTGCATTTTCCACAAATCTAGAGCCATAAATTAAATGCTAAAACCTATTCTCTTATATATGTATGTATGTATGTATGTACATACCAACAGAAATGCATGGCTGAGATCAGTATCCGTTTGTATGTTTGTTTGATGCTTGTTTTTTGTTTTCGTTGCATTGAAATGCAACCGAAGGTAACTTAACTAGCAACAATTGCATGCATTGTAAATACCAATAGGAACAACAACAGCAACACAGCAGCAGCAGCAGTAGTAATAATGAAATCAATGAAGCAAATTTCCATAAAACATGCAACAATTGATTTCAACAATAAACCCAATTACAACAACGTGCAAAAAGGTGATGGCGATGGCAGCAGAGATATATAGTCCTCACAGTCTATTATAATGGCAATGCGATTAAATGCAAATTTACATTTAGTGGCATGAACAATATTGTTATTACCCGTTTCTCTTATTATTTATTTCTTCTTTCTTTCATTACATTTCAATTCAAATTCAATTAATCGTGTCTTGCCGCAAAGAAAAGTTCATTTAAATATGAACGATTTTGCCAAGTTGTTTCATGAACTGTCAGGTCCAGTGATAATGATGACGGTGATAAAGTGAAAGCATCTGCAGCCTCTGGTTACAACGATTTCCAAAGAAATAATAAAAAACGACAGAAAAACACATACACACACATATATATACCAAACCGCAACATAACAAATGCCAAAGTTTATGATGTAGGTAAATTACAGCTTTAACCACAAGTTGCCATCTTGCAGTTGGTCCCAAAACTGCAACTCATCTTTCTATATAAGGTGAGAGATGTTGACTGTTCAAGTGGTAGAAATCTGTAAACAGCTGTAGTTCCACAAAAACAAAGAGAAAAAGACAAGAAACAAAAAAACACAAGCAACAACTGAAAACAAAATCGTAAGAAATCCCACAGTGAAAAATGCAATTTCTTGTCGATAGCTTGGTGCATGGCACCATTTGCACTTATTTGCTTTTATTTCTCGGCTTCATTATGTGTGAATTCGTGGAGCCACAAAATGTTCGTACATCGTTGGATGATGTATGTGCTTGATAGAGACTGTTAAGCTGATATTTCCACCAAGTGAAGCCAATTTGAAATTCATAAAACAATACCAGCAGAAATTGTTGCAATGTGGTTGAAAAAGGCTAGATAATGAAATTATTCGCATTTGAAAACAAATGTTCTATATAAAAATATATACTTATACGGTATTCATGACTCTGAAATATATTGAACTTCTTGATAACAAAGCTGTAAGCGACTTCGAAGGTCCGTTCTAGAGTTACTAGAAACAAATGAAGATTTTGGCTTGTGTGTTTTTCTAAGGTTTCGAAAACCACAAAAATTTTAAAAAATCCAATAATATTTTTGATAATTTTCTTGATTTTTCCCTTTGGAATCACTGTACTGTACTATTTACCAATAAATTCCATTTTGTCTGTGTGTTTGTCTAAACAATCGTGTTTGTGTCTTTAGTCTTTCGTTTTCTTTGGCAAACCAGCCAAGCACACATACACTTTGCCACGAATTGACCATGTGTCTGAATTTGTGAGAGTGAATGTTTTTTTTGTTAAATATTTGTTTGTTTTCGTTTATATTTTCATTGTATTTGTTGTTTCTAACTTATTTCTTGAAATCTCTTTGTTGTTATAACAGACATACATAGGTGTGAGTGTGTTAGCCGATAATATTTGTACACTGATGTGTATACATGATGATGATGGTTGTGCACGTATGGGTATGCTATTTCGAAAAGTACTTTTTGTTTCCATGATATTATGTAATAAACCATTTTTTGTCGCCATCATCTATCAACTATCAAAAATGCAAGCACACACATTAGTGTTTTTGCGTTGTTTATTTCTAAAGTGTTTCTACTCACAAATTATCTTTTTTTTGGCCATATTTTATTCTTCTTCTACTACTATTATAATAACTGGTGATTGTGTGTTTTTTATGTCAGGCTAACTATTTGATGTCTCCGGTTTGGAATTTGCCAGATACTATTTGCGTGTTAGAATGTTATATAGATAAGAGTAGTTTGGAAATTCCCTTGTTTGTGGTATATGATTTAATTAGTACGGCTTGATTTTTTAATTTTCTGTTCTTTATTTTGTTTTGTGGCTTAGAATTCATTAGTAGGTCTTTTGACCAGTTTTTTTTTTTTTTTTTTTGTCTGTGTTCATTACTAGTTTGTTCTAATGGAAGATTTTTGTTTTTTCTGCTTCATTCCTTCGAAATCAAAACAAATCTTTTCATATATTAATCAAAATCTCAAAAGAGACGTCAATTAATTTTAATTGCTTTAATAACAATTAAAAAACAAACGACTCGATGATAATTAAATATTTTTTGTTCCACCTCACTACCTATCATATATGGAATCTGTCATGCGTCTCTCATTATGTTTCAAAATAAAAAAATAATAATTATGTTTTTCTGTATAAGCACCAGCTTTTAAAGTACGTCCCGCATAGTGGCTAGTGTCAGCTTTTGTATTTATAAATCCAGAGTATTTTAAAGCCATTCAATTTGGAAAGAATTTCCACTGCCTACCAGAAGACGGAATTTTACAAATCTTATTTATTTTTACAACTATTTCATTTCATTTTTTTTTTTTATTTTTCTACTCTACATTTTTGGAAACTCACCCAAAATCAGTTGTACCGAATTAATTGACCAAACATAGCTGAACTGTACTATAGATTGTTCACCATGTGTTAATTGAAAGCGAGTTTCACAGCTTACCACATAAGGTTTACCAAGGCAGAAGTATTTTTTAGAACAATTTCTAATTTCTATTTTGTGTTATTTTCCATTTCCATTAATACGAGTGTGCTAATGTGTTCTATTTTTATTTACTGGATGTTGTGGTTTCATTTAATTCCATTTTGGTTGTTGTTGTTGGTTTTAACATCCACAAAAAACGGGTAAATGTAATTAGTGGTGACAAGATACCATGACCAGTTTATATTATATTTTGTTTAGTCATGACATTTGTAGTTCCCATTATTCTTGAAATTAATTCAAGAAGCGAGCTTTAAATTGATAACTAATTTTCCATACTTTTTTTAAAGACCAAGCTTTGGATTTATGTGTAATTTTTTGAACTGAGGGAAATTTTGATCATGACTAATAAAACATAATAAAACAAATTTAAAATTCATAATCAAGCTAAATTAAATTTCTTTCTTTTTGAACAAAAAGCCAATGGTTTCCATTAATAAATAATAAAAAAGTCAGAGACATCTATGAATTTTATTTAAATTGTTTATGTTTTTTAATAAATTTGTTTTCCTTTGGTCTGGCCATAACCCAGTTTTGGCCAAATGTTTTAACTTTTTATTTTGTTTTTTAATAATTTAAATGTATGTTAGAAATCACCCAACTATGCTTAATTTAATTTTTTTTTGTTTTCTCATGCCTTGCAAATACCATAGCGTGGCCAACAACAAAAAAGTTATTTGTCTATGCTTCTACAATAAAATAACAACTAACTACAACAACAATAATTAAACGTGATGTATTATTTTTGTTGTACCATTCATCCAAGCCGAGAGTGTTTTAATTAGAGTTGCCATTCTTTGCTTAGTAAAAATGTAGATTGCACTCTTTTGTTTGGCTGGGTTTATTTGTTTATACATCTTTAAGAAGACAAAATCGACTTAACCATAACTAGCAGGACAGGAGCAAAAGAAGAGAATAGATAGCAGTATTTTCACAGAATAAAGTTTATATTTAGGTCAGCTTTTCAGATGTAGCACCCTTTATTAAACGCAATAGAGATTAATAGAGCTTAGCAGCTGAACCTAAAGCCTTATGCCAAGAATATCACTGAACATATCGTACCTGCCCTGAAGCTCTAAAAAATTAAGATCAAAAATAAAAAATCATGTCCACTGATTAAAGTCGGTAATAATTACATTGTTTTGCTTTTTTGGTGGAAAATAACGGAGCGTGAACTGTGAAATCGTAATTTTTAGGTAATTAGTTCAAAACTTGTGTAAACATAAATGTTGAATTGCTTTTTCAGTTTTTTTACAATGCTATGCAGTTCGAGGTAAACAAATTACCTTGATTAAATATCCCTTGAAATAAACTGTTACTAGAGGGATGGGCTAATACTTTCTCTTAAAATATCGCTGCCCATCCATGAAAGTCGTCGTAATAACACACCAAACCTTTTTCTCTTACCCATGTCAGCCGTTGTTTAACATGGGACATTTCTCTCCCATGAAATATCTCTCTCTCTCTCTCTCTCTCTCTTGAGGGATAATTTTATAAATCGATCTAAAATAAAATTGTAAGCATATATAAATAGATTTATATATTTACGAAATAAAGTATATATGCATATAAAATAATTTTTTTTCTTTGAATTTCTATTACTCTTAATTACTTTACAATAACAAATTACTTTATTTCCTTCAATACTACTGCAACATTTTTAAATAAACATAATGCAAGAAAAGCAAATATAATATTATTTCATAATTGAGGTCATTTATACTAAACAAAAGGTAAAAAAATCAATTCACCTTCCATATTTCTTTATGGTGTGAGAAAATTTCACAACTAGTTGTGAAACATTGCGTTAATTCAAATCTCCAAATTTTATAATAACCATCTATAGATTAACAAAGATTTCATATGAAATTCGCCAATAGTGATTAAATAAACAAACAACCATAATATTTATTTATTCAGTATACATTTTTCGGGTTAAATAACACTAACAAATCGGCCACTTTAATGTCAATAAACTTTTGTAGTAAAGCCCCCAATAAACAAACAAAGAGGGAATGTGATGAGAAGTGCGAAAGCAAAAGACAAAACCACAATGGTACCTTCGTTTGGTATTACAGGCAACGCTTGATAAATGTAACTCTTTTCAGTGTGGAATATTGAAACTGAATTTCTCATAAAATCATTTTTTATTATTTATTTACATCATCATTCAAAACGCTTAAAAGCGAAAACATAATGATGTTAGATGAAAGTCTTGGGAATAGGAGTTAACTACTTTAATTTCCAAATCTGGATTGGACTGTAACACAACAAAAATGCCATCAGTTTTATATTTTGGTTGCAAGTCTAAATTTGCGAGTTACGAAAACATGTAACCGTATCTGCACCTATTTTTTTGTGAACAGAAAAACTTGTTTTTCCTGTAACCAAATACGGATAAAGTTGTTGCTAATGAAACAAAAAAATTGGAATGTGAATCATCGATCATCCTCAAAACATTTAAAATTGGTTTTCATATTTTTCATTGGTAAATATGCTGTTTCTTCTTTTGGCTTTCGGAGACAAAGAAAGGAAGTAACCTTATAATGACTGATAACGGCGACATGAATGCATTCCCCCCACACACAAACACACACACACACACACACATCACAATATGGCGTTGCATTTGTGGTTAGCAGGGGTTACGTAGCCAACAACATTAACAACATCTAGCCATCTAACTACAAGTTTCTTACATAACACAAACTTTGTTTTTCAAAGCGTTCGTTTGAGCGTTTGTATGTCTGCTAATAGAGTGGTTTGTTTTGTGGTATTGAGAGTTAACATTAAGCAAATTATTTAAGCATAACTTTAGCATAAAACTTGCAATAGTTAGATGATAGTTGCCGGCAAGTACTCGTCTTCCTCAACCTCCAATGTTACAAGAGACCTACCATATTTTGCTTTATGCATGGCTGATGATTTCGATAAATGATTTCCGCGTTTTATGCGGTGCCTTTCTTTTATTACAAGGAACGCTGATGTCTGATTGACAGACAGACTGTGTGTTGGCGCAAAATGGAAGGGAATTTTATTGACGTTTGCTGTTATGGAAATGCAACGTCGGGGTATAATCTGTTATTAAAAACTCGAATACGATTTCATCATAGACATAATTGTAACTATCGTGATGTAGGTGTACTCCAAGATAGACATTTAATTTGTTTGCATCCTATTTGAAATTATCAATAGTTTTTTAAAAAATAATATCCATATTGTGTCATACCTAATCGTATTGAATCTGGTTTTGGGAAATCATGAAAGGCAATAACCGCAAGCGAAAAAAATTTCGAGTTTTGCCTTGTTAAGGCGAAGATCATATGTTTTATGATTTAAGTGTTTGTTTTCTCTTTCGATCATGTCTATTTTTAAAAATGTCATGAGGAATGTCTCCAGCTAAAATCTAAAGGTACTTACTTGTGGTCTTCCCTGCCTCACCCCTTGGTAACAATGGCATTTTATCACACACTGCTTTTATGAATTTTTTGATTTTCCCGACATATTCACATATGTACATTACATAAATCTATGTTACACTTTTGTCATTTCACGTTTCTCTTTGATTTTAGGAACTTCCAAGAGCTGAAGCTTTATTGGGCCGTGAAAACATCAATGATGATGATATGCAAAATCTCAACAAAATTGAGACTGTCAAGAAGGTGGAAAGCAAACCTGAAAAATCTGCTGCTCCTGCCCCATCTGAGGAAGAATTCAACATGAACAAAGTCAATAGCGACAGTGAAGAAGCTGAGGTTATGCAAAAATATCCCGGTAAAATTCCCTTGGAATTGGACTTAAGCGATTTGGCTGCTGCTTTATTGCAAAACAACAAGAAGTATGCATTTAGACAGCATTGATTTTACAACAATTAATATTTTAAATATCTCCCATAGATCCCGCATGAACTGTGTGGTTGAGCGCAAGCATGCAGAAGAGCTGGTTGATACACCCTCCAAAACTGTTGCCTTGCCTTTCGGCATGAATTTGACCACTGAACCCAAGAAGGCACGTATTACCGGTGAACGCATTTCCATTTTCTGTGAAGGTGGCAACGAAAACAAGGAACAAGACTCTTCCAAGGGTTCGCGCAGTGAAGATGATGAAGACAATACCGATGATGAAATCGAATCTATTCGCCCCATGTTCTTCCCCTACCAACGCGTGCCAATTCCATTTGGACCCATTCCCAATCGTTTTCCCTTGACCCACATGCCACAACGTATGGAACCAATGATGCCACGTCACCAACCTGAACAGTTGCCTGGTTTCTTGCGTCAAATGCCCCCACCACCACCACCATTCCAACAATTGCCAATGCGCCCACCCATGCCTCCACAAGTAATGCAAGCTCCACACCCAGAACCTCAACGTATTTTGCGCATCCAAGTCCATCAGATTCCATTGAGAGAACTGATCCATGTTGCCGATGATGTACCCCAACAAATCCAACCCCAACAAGTACCTCAACAAGCTCCTTTGCCACAACAACCTCAACCTCAGCAACAACAACAACCTCAGCCACAACAAACTCAACCTCAACAAATGCAACAACAGCAGCCACAACCTCAACGTCCCGATATGCCATTCTTCCAAGTAAGTTATTTTAAACATGCCGGAAACAAATTGTAGATTAAATATTTTTTTTAGATCCAGCGTATGCCTTTAGATTTGGCCTTGGAACGTGCTGGTATTACTGCTGAAGATTTGGCCAATATTCAACGTATGACCGAAGATCGCATTAACGAAGAATTCCGTCGTTTGGCCATTGATTCCGAAGAGGAAGACAACAGCAACAGCTCTGAAGATGACGATGAACCCCAAATGGCTGCCAATAACAACAGCGAACAAGAAAAATCTCAACAACAAGAGAGCCAACAATCCGAACAAGATTCTGAACAACAACAACGTCAGGGCCGTATGCAACCCATGCCCATTCAAAGACTCATCTTGCAACCTTTGCCCGAACAACCACGTGATACAATGACACCACCAATGCCCGATCGCCGTATGCCAATCGGTCACCCCGGCTGGGGTCGTAGCTTAGCTCAACCCGTCAGTATTCCCGTGCCAATGATGGATGCTCAAAACGATATGTCTGGTCAGGATGATCAATCGTCTTCCTCGTCGGCAGCTGACGAATCGGAAAGACCACATTGTAAGTATGCAAATGATGAGTTTTTCTGTAAATAAAGAGGAAATAAGAAGTTAAAGCGATTGATAAAGAAGGCAAGTGATAACATCTTAATACTAAATTGCTCCAAAGAGTTCGTAGATTGGTTCTCCCAAAATATATATATTAATGCTAGGTATGAACCAAGACAAAAAAAAAATAAAATAAATAAATAAACATTGAAGAATTTAGTAACTTCATAAAAACAAGTTTTAACTTGATGTTACTCACAAAGCATTTTACACTTCAATTCCTTGAATCCAGAGGATAGCTCTTGACATTTTAGATTGTTTCTTTAGTTAAATACTTTTTAACTAGCCAAATATATTGAAACAAACACGATTTTAAAACATTTGTCCCATTCAAAGCATTTAAAAATAATGTTATTCCTCTAGTAACCTCCACCTTGTTTATGACACTGAAACTTATTAAACTTTTATTTTATTTCTTAGAATTTGTTCTTTTTACATTTTTTCTTACAGTTGTCCACCCACGTTCCGTCTAAGAATCTGATTGTATTAAATCATCTGTGATGTTTCGCTGCTAACTCTAACACAAAAATTGAGTCCATGAATTTCCACCTTATAGAAGAAGCACAAACACGGACACAACGGCAGCTGTATTTTTTATTATTTTTCAACATTTATAAAATTTGTTTCGGTTAACTGTATAAAAAGAATATAAAGCATAATAGTTGGTCCATTCCGATAAATAAATAAATTAAATAAATATATACATGTAAAATTTAATATTTATGTTTTCTTTTACTATGTTGTCGAAACATATTTCTACTTGTATTAAATATGTATGTATGTCTGTTATAATATATTTTTTTCTTTATATAGTTTTTGTTCTATTCCTCAAACCTGTAATAATTGTTGTTAATATTTAGATTTTTAAATCAAAAAATATTATTATTTTGAAATATGTGAAATACCAGAACAAAAAAAATTTTTGTAAGAAATTTAAAATAAAAATCTTTGTATTTGTAAATAAGAAACCCCAACAATCAATAATAAGATGTTTTATTTTTTAATGATAGAAAACGACCCAATCCAATTTGCTTTGAGTGCTGGAACTAATTTTACACACATGGGCTAAGAAAAATATTTTGGTTTAAAATATACCTAAATTTTACGTATTATTCGCGGAAGCCCAAAAAACTAGTAAGGAAAAGTCGAACGGGGCCACAATGCGCATTTAGTAGAGATCCCGTAACATTTATTTGAATTAGATCATACCACCTATTAACATTTGGCTTAAAGCAGTTATAGTTTGGTTTCAGAGGGAGCTAATATATGAGAGGCATATCCAATTCTGAATCGAATTTCACTATATTTGACGGAGATCTTTTAATCCTTTATACCAAATAACATTTATATAGATTGCATATCACTTCGAGAAGGATTATATTAGAAAATATATATATCGGAGCCGAGTTCCACAAAATGGAAACGTATGAACCGATCTTGATACAATTTGGAATGCTGCATCTCATATATGATAACAAAACATAATTTTTGTGGGGTGCATATTACGAATGTTGGGGACTTAAAAACCCAATCGGATGAAACCTATATATGGAAGCTATAGATACATCTAAACCGATTTTCTCCGAATTCGATGTACTAGCTTTTAGAGTGAATTCGGTCGGATGTACCAAAATTCAGGACTTTTGAATGGCAAATATGCCATTTTGTGCACAATTAACCAGAAATCGGTTAAAGATATACACTGGTGGCCAAAACTAAAGCAACTTAAATCGCAAAGACAATAAATGTCCTGTAACTTTTACAAAAATAAACAAATCGTAATTATTTTTCCAGGGGGGGGGGTTTAATTCACTCTCAAGAAACTAAAAATAAAAATACAAAAATAAGTTTGAACGAAAAATAATATGTGGAAAACTAAAATGACCCAATTTTTGCTTGGTCAAAACTAAAGCAACTTTTGATTTTTTATTTTAAAATAATTAAATTTTGGCTAGTAGTCGATAGCATAACCATTATTTTTGATAGCAGCTGCACACCTACGAGGCATTGAATCTATAACACGCTCAATTTGATCCTTGGGTGTGCTTTCCCAGGCACCCCGAATTCTTTAGAAAATGTTGTGCTTATTTATTTCCGAATCTCTCTTGATCTTCCTATCTACGATACTCCAAAGGCTTTCTAAGGAGTTTAGGTCAGGTGATTGTGCCGGTCATAACAAAACATGAATTTTTGACTCCCGCAACCAATATTTGACAAGTTTTGATACAAGTTTGGGATCATTGTCATGCTGAAACACACAAATCAGCCCAATATTTTACTCAGCGTAAGGGAACAACGTGATGTCCAACACATCTTTGTAAACAAACGGATCCACAACTTCCTTTATTTTATGGATAGACCCAAGTCCATAGAAAGAAAAATAGCGCCACGCCATTTTTGACCCTCCCCCATGCTTCACTGTACCTTTGCAACACTGCGGCTTGAGTCCTTCATTTTTTGGTCTTCTCACCGTAAAATTTTTCACGTCTGAGCCTTTAATATTAAACGTAGACTCATCCCAGAAATAATGTTTTTTCCATTGAGCTTGATTCCACTTAATATTATCGTTTCCGAAAGCCTTTTTGATTTTTTCAGATATAAATGGTTTTTTGATGTCTTACGGGCACGCAGACCAGCTGCCACTACTCGTCTACGCACTGATCTCGAGCTTATATCCAATGATTGCTCTCTCACCAATCCTGTTGAACTCTTAAATAGTTGTTTTTTTATTTCTCTCACAATTTGTGGATCAGTATGGGCTGAAGTTCTTCACGGCCTTCATCCGTTATGGACTGTTACTACTGATCCATTTTCAAAAAACCGACTTAGTGCACAGACATAATTATGAAATCACATAAATATTTATGAAATATTTCTCGGAAATCATTTTCTGTGATATGTTGTTTTGAAAATCACTGATAATTTGCTGTTTTATTCAGGTACAGTATTTGCTTCTAGCCATTTTTAAATTTTTTTTTGGCAGTACTTAAAAAACGAAAAGAAAAACATATACTGTTGTAAAAAACTTCTCAAAAAGGATTTATGACAAGCGAAATTGTCGAAGGAAGCAAAAAGCGATAAATATCACAGTAAAAACCACTGAAATTGCAGCGGTTATATGAATGTACAACAGAGTTGCTTTTGTTTTGTCCAAGCCAAAATCGGGTTAATTGACTTTACCAAACATAATTTTTTATTTAAAAATGAATTTTGGTTTTATGTTTTAGGTTTTTAAAAAGTGAATAAAGTACCTAATTTAAAACAAGAAAAACTTTCTCATTTTCTTAATTTTTGAAAAAGTTACAGGGCATTCATTCTCCTTGTAATTTCAGTTGCTTTAGTTTTGGCCACCAGTGTATATAAGAGTTACACCTAAATTTGAACCGATTCTCACCAATTTCAATAGGGTTCGTCCTTGCGCCAAACATATATTGTTTGCAAAAATTCATCTCAGTCGGATAATAAATTCGGTCTGCATTTGTTTCACAAAAATACATCTAAATTTGAACCGATTTTCCCCAATTTCAATGGGGTTCGTCCTTGGGCCAAACAAATATTGTTTTGCAAAATACTTAAACAGACGGACTGACATGCATAAATCGACTCAGAAAGTGATTCTAAGAAAATCCTCAAACTTAACTATGCGCCTATCTGGATTCCTTCTCCCTGTTACAAACACAAAGACATAATACCTTTTTACCACTATATGGTGTAGGGTATTAAAAACAATCAAAAATTTGGGAAGTTTAATGAAATAAATTAAAACATGAGATCTTGACAAAAATACTTAATTTTACAAAATACATTCACATAAATATTAATATGTCTATATGCATGTGCACAAACAATCTCGTACATTCTCTTCTAAAATAAAAACTATTATGCCGATATAAAGCAAATATGCAGTATTATTTTTACATGAAAAATCTTGATCCTGAAACAATATGTAACACATTAATATACTTAAAAAAATATTGTTTTGTAATGTTTTAAAATTTGCAACTTGTAGTTCTTCTATTTAAGAAGTCTGCGTTTGTACCAATACTTTTCACATATTAAAAAATAAGAACGAAAACGTCGAAGAGAAACGATAAGAAAAACACCTACATAATAGAAATTGGCTGTTTGTTACAGCATCACGTCAAATTGTATGTTTATGATTGCATATGAATTGTTTTCTGTTGGCTCTTTTTTTAAACTTTGAAAGCATATTGCCAATTATTTACAAGTGAGCTACTATACTCGGAGACCAGCAACCCACTCAGAAAAAGGAAGACTTGCATAGGCCATTGATAAATTTAACATTCCAACGATCATTCATTTGCTTTATAATCAAGCAATGTCAAGCCAAGACATTTGAAAAATGCAACCTAGGCTGTTAAAGTACTGAGTATTTTCTATTAGATTTGATGACATCCTGACTATCTATTTGTTCTTACTACTTCTATTTGATCAATATCAAGCTATTTGAAAATCACTTGTAATACATTTAAGCCGATACCTTCTGAGTAAAGCGATTAAAACAAAGTCGCAAATGAATACATTTTGTGATATTTTTTTATTTTTGTTGCTTGTTTTTTTTTTTTTCAATTTGTTTTACTATTGTTACATAATACAAAAGAAAAAATTACCTACACATAAATTTTAAAAATACATATTTATAATAACTAGTATGTATTTACACATGGTTAAACGTTTACAAATTAACACAGAAACATAAAATCTTATGGGCCTCAATTCGTTTGTTTGTTGTTGTTGTTGATTTATAAATAGTACATTTTTCATTTCGTTACAATTAAACAACCAATCTTATGTTATTCGTTTGTTTCTCACCTTAAATTGTGTATTTATGTAAGAATCTAAGATCATTACCAGGCATTTTGCATGTTGGTTTTTTATAAATACTAATTTTTAATTATATTTGCATTGTTGTTTTATATATTATTATGAATGAAATAGAAGATTTACTGTTACATATGCATTCAATCGACTGATATTATTTTGGGAAAACTGCTTTTTATTTGGTGAGGGTCGGGCAAAGGTCAAGTTATTTTATCTGAAATAAAAAACGTATGGTAAATTTGAGTTTTAAAATATCAATGTATACGATTTTTGTGTCTTTTTGCAAAAAAACTAAATGCTATCTCATTTTTTACTTAATACTTCCAATATTCAGTCTGCATTTGTACCTACTTATGTTTATATAAAAAATATTTTATCATTAAAAACTATTAAAAAAAAAGTATTGTTTAAAATTCAGTAAATTCCGTTAGATTACTTTATATTAAAATATTCAAAAACAAAGATAAGCATTGCCTTATTTTAAGGTAAATATTATGCGATATTGAGCCCTTTTTTGAAATTGATGTTAGGCATCATTATTATCATGCATTAGCCTATGATTCAGATCGGTGAAGAGTGCGGACTGAAACTTTACTTACCTTTTTTCATATAGACGAGGACTGGCTTATACTAATTATCCTTCTGCCTGGTAGAACTTTGGTAACTGATTCAAATATTTGTCACATATTTCCTTTACACCAACACTCTTTCCCAACGCCGTAATAAAAGGCTTTAGCCATTTTCACATTGGTTGTCATCACAGCTTCCCCAGAATATGCAGTTACCCACTCCGCTATAGCATATTAAGAATACGGCAGTCAAAAACACCAGACTACAAATCGTGCATGGTTTTCTCTCCAAAAAGAAGCCAATCAGGTAGAGAACAATAAACATCACATGTGTTTCGATAAGAGCATTGTTTGGCTTCGGAAGTAGAAGTACTGGTAACAGACATTGTAGGCAATACATAATATATATTCCACTTGTTATTTATTCAACACAGGCCTGGTGTTTGATTGTTATAATTAAAATGTTGTCATTAAATGGCCGCCCGACGAAATCGCCAGAACTTCACTCTCCAATGCTGGCACCAACCCCTTTGACGATGCTTCGAGCAATGTTAATGTGATTGGTTCGAGATCCACCATATGCACACTCCTAAGCGCGATCAAACATTTTACATTCCAATGATTTTTTATTTAAATTAAGGTTACAAGTCGGCACCTTTTCTCTAAAAAATTTTTCCTTATTTTTCTTATCGTTAGGGATTCGTAAGTCGATTTTCAATTATTTTAGTCTATTTCTTCATTATCAACGTTTTCTTGGCTGGTTTTTTTATTCCCTTTTGCCTAATGTTGGTTCACATTGTCTAATATTTATCGAATGTGTCGAACATATCGATAACGCATACAATGAAAACCTGTCACATGGTGCAATGAATTCAAGGTAGGACAGAACTACCATATGATTTTAATTTTTTTATTTTTCTGACTTAATATGTCAACTTCATTTGTTTATGTTTGTGCATTCTTTTCAATAATAAAAAAAAAATTTCAGAAAATATTCAAATTCAGGTGTTTTCCAAATGCTAATTGCAACGTATGCATCGACAAAATCTACAGTTTTTGTCGCGAAATAAACCATAAGAGATATATAGAACATGATTTTGAAAAGAAATAACCAAACACAAAATAAACAAAACAATAAATTGGTATGAATTTTCTTTAATAATATTGAAAAATAATTCCATGTTCTGGAACAGAGAACGAATTTAAATATATTTCTACGATAACCGATTTTATATTTATAATATTGAAAAATAATTCCAAAATTAGTAGATGTTCTGGAACAGAGCACTACAGTACGTTTACACATAAATGTGGATTTGGGTTAACGTTGTCATATCCATCACTTATACTTCAAATAAATCCTCTCGAAGTGGGTTAATCCTACGAAAAATTCTAACGTAAACATGGCATTAACCAAATACTGAAAACAAATGGCAAATTTATCATGGTTGATCCGTTATTATTTAATTTTCTTCTAACAAACGTAGCCTAAGTTCCTCGATCAAGCATCGCGACCAAAGTCCATAGATCAGGTTGTCAACATTATATTATTCGTTTTTATACACTGCGACTACTATTGTGATTGAAAATCCCCAGTTCTGTCAAAATATTTATTTACGTGCTCATATTTTAATTCAGAATTTCATGCATTTGACAATACGGGCGAAATTAACTGATCTTATCGAATAACCTAATAGGAAATAATCATAAATAAATCACATTACATACGTTATATTTTGTTAACCGTTTTGTTTTTTGCTTATCTTCATGCGTTAGTTTCAATCACAATAATGCCTGTTAACATTAACTTGTAACCAGCTGTTCTTGAATTCGGCCATGGGAGAAGAAGAAGAATAATTTTATTCCCGTTTGCTACGCTTATTCTAAACATTACTTTTCGCTTTACGCTATCAGTTATCATATATGTTTTGAATGTTTTCAATACTGTTGAGAGTTAACTTGTTCAATTAACAAGAAATTATTAGCATAACAAGCTTATTATTATCGCTGGTACGGAAATCGGACACGTTGTATGATTGAATGTGAACTTACACATGTGAAACGTATCACAATCGAAATTTCCTACTTCCGTGACTGGTCTTGGATTTCTTCCAGGATCTTTCAACGCCGTCAATATGTGGACAATAACTATAACAAAGAAACGATGGAAACAATTTGCAATCGGAGCTGGGATTACACTTGTAGTTATTGTGATCTTCTTTAAAATGTTAAATTTGCCTATTAACAATAACATTAATTCGGCAATGCCGAAGAGCAGACATGAATTTGAAACCATTTACGAACGGCAGCAAAGACTAATTGAGGAGCAACGTCTAGAACTACAGAGGACGAAAGAAGAACTGACCCGCCTGCAAGATGATCTGCGTGCACTGCAGTCAAATACACCTCGCAAGTATCCCAAAGTAAAATATTTAAATTACAAAAATCGTAAAAGAATTTTAATAACCGGAGGAGCGGGATTTGTCGGTTCGCATTTGGTTGACAATCTTATGTTGGCTGGTCATGAAGTTATTGTTGTTGACAACTTCTTTACGGGTCGCAAGCGCAATGTCGCTCATTGGCTAGGACACGAGAACTTCGAACTAATCCACCACGACATTGTAAACCCTTTGTTTATTGAGGTAGATGAAATCTATCACTTGGCATCGCCAGCTTCCCCACCGCACTACATGTTAAATCCAGTGAAAACAATCAAAACCAACACAATGGGAACAATAAATGTTTTGGGTTTAGCAAAGCGTGTTATGGCCCGAGTCTTGATAGCAAGTACCTCCGAAGTATACGGGGATCCTACCGTTCATCCACAGCCAGAATCGTACTGGGGCCATGTAAATCCAATAGGGCCGCGTGCATGCTATGACGAGGGTAAACGAGTTTCTGAAACGTTGAGTTATGCTTATGCCAAACAGGTGAGCTAAAATATTTTAGATTATGATTTTAATCTGCATTTACACGCCATTTATTTATTATCTATGCACAAAGATGAAACCGCAGTAACCAGCAGCTGCGTAATTAAATATCTTCTCGCTATCATTGCTGTTTCGTGTTCCTTCTTCATCAGAACATGTTAGCGTTTCCTCTTCTATTGTTTTAGTCAAAATTTTTATATATTACAGACCTGTTATCAGCCATAATCCCACTATACAAGTATATACATACACAGTATAATGTGTAAACAATGCAATGTTTTATTTCATTTATATTTGTTGTTGATTGTCGTCTAGATAATGCAGAGATTAAATAGATGTTTTTTTTATTACAGGAAAAAGTTCAGGTCCGCGTAGCTAGAATTTTCAATACATATGGTCCCCGCATGCATATGAATGATGGTCGAGTTGTATCGAATTTCATTCTTCAAGCTTTGCGAAATGAAACTATAACTGTTTATGGCAATGGCAAGCAGACACGCTCTTTCCAGTACGTCGACGATTTGGTCGATGGTCTCATAAGTCTTATGATGTCTAACTATACGCAGCCGGTTAATTTGGGCAATCCTGTTGAACATACCATCGAAGAATTTGCTTTTATTATCAAAGAGTTAGTAGGTGGCCATAGTAAAGTCGAACGCACCGATGCAATGGAAGACGACCCACAACGAAGGAAACCCGATATAAATAGAGCCAAGAAATATCTTAATTGGGAGCCGAAAGTACCACTGAAAATGGGTCTTCTTCGAACTATTGACTATTTTCGCAAGGAACTGGAGAGGTCGGATCGATATGCAGCAAATTCAAAAAAATATTTTGAATCGCACGACTTAGAACGTAGCCAAAAACACTATCAATTTGATACTGACAATGGTTAGTGTTTAATGCAAGGGAGAGAAAATGAGGAAGGAGTACTTAGTTTAGATTGTTTCCTTAATTCTCCAAAAATATATGACGAAACTCATATAGTTTAGAAAATCTACATCTTTGAAGCTAGTCTGTAATGTAAATAAGAGAAGACGAAGAAAGACACCGCCGTTTTCGATTGTACACTAAAAAAATAGTTGCAATTACCTTACCCAAAAAAAAAGAAATACACTCACAAACAAAAGAAGCCATTGGATGGATATATGATTTTAAAATCCCCTCCCTTACTTGTAATACCATTTTTTTTATCGTTTTATTGTAATTATTTTTACGGAAGTCCCTCATAAATAGAATTTTTAAGAGCACTATTGTAAATTTTATGTAAGCAAATTATTTTATAAGAAAATATACACAGTTTATAATGAAATAAACTTAAATCGCTTTTGAATATTGATTTTGTGACCAGAAAAGAGAGAGAGAGGCAAATTGTCCTCACTCAAGCTTAACATCACAATGGAAAAGATCACCTGTTTAAATTCGAGAATTATAGTTTGGGTTTGTATGGCATTAGTATTATTTATTTATTTACAAATGTTTTATACATAATATATGTATAGAAATAGTCTTAAAAATATCTACATACTATATTTTGTGTGTAAGTTTTTCCTAAATCAAAACGACGAGAATTTCAATATTCTATTCCATTATAAGATATCAAATCTTTGGATCAAAATAACAATCTACAACAGAAACAAATCATAATCCTTAATAGGCTACATATAAACGAGGTATTCTAACCACTGCCAGTAAATAGTTCTTATTTTGTTAATTTGCGTATTTATTAATGAAACAAATGCTAAAGTTGTGATGTCGTGAACTTTAAATCTCACCGTGATACTGTTTCTAGCATTTCCATAAAGAGTTTCTTTAATGATACTGAACCTTCGGCATTGACGTTGCGCCAAAATCGACGCAGAATATTATCGGCCTGACGCAGGGAGGGCAGTAGAAGCAGCAGTTGTTGTTGATGCGAAACAGCCGAACTGTGCCGCAACAAATAGACCACATCATTTAGAGAATTTAATATTGAGTCGCGAAAAGCCCGCAAAGAACTTTGATCGTCCAAAAGAATATCACAATTGGTCAATATTAATGCTTTTAACAAATAATATTCCTCTCGGCGAGGTGAGACGCGTTCCAAACGTTGAGCTACTTGAACACAATGATAATAGAATTCTGTATAGCCACATTCTTTGGCCAACAACTCATCCATCCACACATCGGATGCGAAACACAGTTTTCCATTAAAGGGAAGCGAACGAAATATCAGCTGTAATGTCAGGATCTCAGCCCAAGAAACTTGCAGCAATTTCATTTGGTCGTTAAGTGGTAGTTCTGTGAAACCAGGTATCTGCTTCGCCCAACCAATTACATAAACCAACTCCTTATCGTACAAATCACTGAGAACACACAAAATATCGTGAGCATCTGAATTGTTATTGGTCAAGGAGTTCAATTGGAAAATGCATGTGGTGCTGGTAGTGGGTGTCGACGTACTACCCGCCGTTGACGATGTTGGTGTAGAAGGCGGGGTGGCATCAGCTGTATCAGTATTTTGCAAAAGATTATTGTGTTCACTTTTTATATTTACCCCCGACGATGTAGTCGACGGTGTCGATGCATTGCCAGATTCCTCATCAATTAATGAAGATGTAGAGTTGGCTCTATTTGCTTGTGTTGTGGGAGTTTGTACGGAAAGTATATCGGGTTCATAATTGCTAAGAGCATCAAGAATTTTAACATCACCCAGTGATGTGATGCTCGATTGGTAAAGTAATTGCATGGTTTGGTACGAGTTGGAAACGGGATTTCGACGGTATTTTTGACGACCACCTCGTACACGATCCAAGCGGACTCCTTCCTAAAAAACCAAAAGGCATCTTAATAGAACCATTATAATTAAATAGATATTTTTAAGATTTACCTTAAGCATTCCCATTAGAAGACATTTTTGAAATCGGCATGCCTGACATGCCTTACGCCTTCGCTTATTGATTTCGCATTCATTGTTCGCCGGACACGTATACTCTATGTTACCTTGTATGGTACGTTTGAAGAATGCTTTACATGCTTCACAACTTGCCACACCATAATGAAAACCGGAGGCAACGTCACCACACACTAAACATAAGCGTCTTAATTCATCACGTATCGATGAGCCACCGGTGGATGCGGCTTGTGTACTACTTCCTCCTCCACCTGTCGTACTCATGTTGCCATCATTATCGACAGCTGTATATGAACCATTACTATTGAGACTTAATGTCGTGGTCGAGCTGCACATTTGCCTTTCCGGAGATACTGATGGCGAAGATTTCATACCATTCCCACCATTGCTACTGGAGCCGGCACTGCCTCTTCTATTGTGACTACCTACATTGCCATTCGCTGCTACAACTGGATTCGCTGTTGATGATGCTGCAGCAACTGGAGAGGGGCTGAAGCCATTAATGTTGTTAATATTTGTATTGGGTTCTTGAACTTCCTGTTTAATGTTCAAAACATTCATCCCGTCTGTCATGTTCAGTGTCTCGGTCACAATTAGCGTTTCAGGGTACTGCAAAAGAAACAAAACATATTCATTAGTAAATACTTTCATATTATTCTTTATTTTGGTCAACTTTTTTGAAATTTTAAAATAAGCTTAATGCTGGTAATTAAATTGAAAGCATCACCTATGGGTTTTCTTTCCACTACTTGTAAAATATGCCCATTGTAATGTAATCACAGAAATGCAAAGCCACATTTGACTTTTCTTCTTTGTTCTGGGAGAACGACCACTCTTTATAATGTCAACGGGAGAGGAGAAACGTGTATTGTGCGAACTGCATGTGGGGAAAACTACAAATGTGCATTTAATCAAAATGAATCGGAATAGTGCCTATGTTTTTTTTTGTGTAAAAGCAAAGAAAAAAGCAATGACATTTTTATGAGTGTCATATTCATTCAGCGTCAGAGTTGTCAGCGAACTAAAAGGGGAAGTAAAACCTATTGCAATAATGGATATTGGTCATCTATTTTAAATCGGAATAAACAATAATGTTAATTCATTTTAACTTGGATCATCAAGAGAATTTTGGAAAATAGAGTTTATACGCTTTTAGATCTTGGTTACAGCATTATTATATTAAATTGCGATTTATTTATTAAAATTATTTCTTACATGCCTAATCATGTGAGGATTACATCCCAACAGAGCGCATCTAACGGTTCCCTATTTCTTGTAATAAAACAATACATCAATAAAATGTAAGCTCATATGCACCACACAGGGATGATAACAATTATGAACAGATAACAACCACAACGATTACTACAATTGGAGAAAAGTAAATAAAAAAGAAAAGTAACTTGCGAAAATCACCAGTATATCGAGGGAAATAAAAGCTTACCTTAATTATTGGTTTATTCCAACTACAGTAACTATTATCAGGAATACATTCTTTTAAATGGCCATAATTAAAGAATACCCTCAAAAATGCTCTTCTTAGTAACAGTTGAACCAGACAGGTTGTGTCTTATACGGGGTCTGGTGGTAAACACATAAAAGTAGGTTACAAAATAGTAGACGAATCCGTTTTGTTGACGGTTTTTAGATGATGCGTTAAAGCGCAAGAGGTATTGTTGAGGCAGCACTTCCACTTTATTTTTTACTTGAAATATTTTCTAAGCTTTCCATTTAAGATTTTATTATATATCTTCCGAATTTTACGACCACTATCAAAACAGATCCATTGAGCGTACAGAACTTTAAATTCAATCTGCTAATATTGCTGCTTCCGTACACACTCGGATATTTAAAAAGTAATCAATAAAGATCGGCAGATCGACTATATTCCCCAAATTTCAAGCAAAATTGTAAATCTCCTAAAAGTCTAAATAAAAATAATTTTTAATTAGACCTTCTTCTTTTCTTGTGTAGACAAGTGGATTGACAACAAATGGTTGGTTATATACAAAAGAAAGGAATTGTTGTTGTCTTGTTCTAACACACGATAAAACGTATGGTGCCACATGCACACAAGAACATCCCCCGCATATCTACAGAGTAGTCCAACCAAACAACCGCATCTGCTAGAAACCAAACTAAAACAATCAGCTGTAATCAGGCAGAGACCTAAATATTGAACTAAAAGCAACTTGGCGTTTAATATTTCGATCAGGAAGTAATTGGCTGACGACATGACGAAAACCATTAGATACATTACAGAAATATTTTATTCGAAATCGCCAAAAATGGCGGAGTAGAGGCTAAACTAAACTAAATTAAAATTCCGAGACAAATTTGACGGTTAAATCGTTATCGACTATAAATCAGGGAATTTGCAATAAGTAAACAACCAGTGTACTATATTCCAAGTATTTTTATTGAATTGATAAGTTATTAAAAATTAACAGCGCTACCTAAAATTCGACGTAGTCAACTTCCCCACAATGGTACAATGTTTTGTAAACCTGTATTAGACAAATACGCCTGGTCCATACCTTATAATCTGCAAATTAAAAACGTTGAAAATATGTAAACTTCTTTAAATGCAGGGGGACGTTTGTTGTACTATTCATTTTTACGCACAAAAAAAGAAACTGTTTCAATTGTCAAAGTTGAAAAGGTTCAACTATGAAATTTCGTACGCCCGACGTATATGGGTGTGGTGAAAAACGTAGATCGAGTACATCGAATTTTAAACATGGTAGAATGCTGGGACGATGAACTGTCAAACAAAATTGTTTTGACATTCATTGAATGAAAAATCATTTAAATTAAAAAAAAACGGGAATGGTAATAACCTCCTAATGACGTCGTATAAGAAAACATAAAAAAATCTACTTATATTTGAAAAAAATATTTAACATTATTTGACATGTCCATGTTCCCAAGTGTTGATGCATCTACCTGCATTCTTCTACTATGATTTTAACGCTGTAATATTTTTCGTACCATTCATTACGAAGCATTGACAAATCATTGCAATATTTAGTCATCGTTTGTGAGTGATTAGCAAAGAATGGTGTTATTACTTTACTGTGATTAGCAAAGAACCGTGTTATCGTTTTATCGTGATTGCTGAAACAATTCGACTTAGCAGACCCTAACTGGGACTTTCGGCTTTTGAATCAGAAAATAAGAAAACAGATGAACAGAAACGACGAAACTAAGACCTCCTCTCCCGTGTAATGGTTTAAAGAAAAATTAAGATTTAGCAAGTTGTGTACTAAGTAAAATAAGAAAAGCAAATATTTTACAAGTGGAAAAAGAAAATTATTTGCAACAAAATAGAAAATGTGATGTCAAATATTAAGCAGAAAAATTGTCGCCAGACAATTGGAAAGAAAATTGTAGAATACAAAAAATAGAAAAAAAGGAAGTGGCAAAACGACAAATTTATTAGAAAGCAGTGTAATATCCGTTTAAAATGTTTCTGTGTAAAAAGTGAAGTTTAATACTGAAAAACAAATGATAAATTAATGAAAAATTCTGGTCTGGAGTTGATGAATACATTTGCAAGTGTGAAAGACAAAAGACGACTCGCTCCAGCGCGATGTCGCTGCAGTCTTTTGGGCGTGTATTAATCTTGTAAAAGCAAAATGAAAAACACCATGCATTTAAGAAAAAATTCATAACAAATATGATTGGTGATTTTTTTTTGTAATTTGTCGTCCAACAAGAATTGAAAAAGCGTTCTTGTGCCTATTAAAATGATTGCAACTTCCTTTTTGTGGTCAAATTCTTGATTTGGTGTCTACTACACAAGAAGAAAGAAGTGCTGCGTACGACATAAACGAAAACCAAGAAAAAGTAAATAATCAACGACAACAGCAGTGCACAGCGGCGCGGCAATGACAGCAGCGACTCCAAATTCCAATCAGTGTAAATTAATACAAAAACAAAAATGATTTTATCGACAGCGGTCGGGTAGTGTTATTTTTCTTCAAGGCAAAAATAGAAAACATATTTAACAAAGTCTTGGAAAAACTATCGGAAGAAAATTTATCACAGCATACACTCCATTAATTCTGCCTACCTACAACAAACAGCTAACCACCCACCCACCACTATCAGGCAGTACGTTGTTCGTTCTCTCGCTCTCTGTCTGTGAATTACTCTCTCCGCGCGTAAAACGTACTGAGCAATTACTATACTACACACATTTACAAGTGAAGTGACAAAGCGCAGCGCCTTTTTGTGTACTCAATCATCCTTCGTGTAATCCTCTCCGTGTTTCGCCGTCGTCGCCGCGTGTGTCTATTGTTCTTGTTGCTGTTGTATATTGCGGAGTTGAAACGACGAGGAAACAGCAGATAGAAGAATTATACAGAATTTATTTCAACATCTCTTTTTCGTATCTTTGCTTTGGAACGTACCCCTGATCTGTAGTGCGGACGACGACAACGACAATGGGTGCTCAACAAGGCAAAGAACGTGGCTCACATTCTAGTGGCGGCCATGGCGGTACCGCCAGCTGTATTGGTGTATCTTCCAGTAGTAGTCCGGTTGGTTCTCATGGCCTGCCGGTGAACGCGTTAGGTGCTGGTTCCACATTGCGGGGCTCACGCATCAAATCGTCTGTACCACCAGCAGCTGTTGCTGGTGGTTTGCATCGTTCAGTGGGTGGCGGCGGTGGTGGTGTTTCAGCATCATCATCGTGTCATAATCCGAAGGATAATCGTTGTGCTCCAATCGGAATGAACATATTCACGGAACATAATGGTAAGTTTAGCAATTGAATTGGATTGATTCTACTTCTAATTGGAATCAGGGTATCCAATTGGTTAGTTGTTGTTTGTTTTGCGTTGTTTACAAGTGTGCCTACATCCTAAATAGCATTTAGCTACTTTTCCAAAAAGGAAGGAAAAATACAAATTTTTTGGTATTTTGGACATCACCCATAAATTTAAAGACATTTGAAAATATAAATTTTGCTTTTTCTCTTTCAAAAAAAAAAAAAAAAAAAAAAGAAATAGCTTCTGTGGACTGATGTGCTAATCTAAGTGAGAGATAAGGTACTAACATGTTTATATAAGCATGTAGCAAGTTTTTAAAATTGTTAAACATTTGGGGAAATTGTATCAAAATAAATAAATATATGATTTAATACGACCGGCGAGAGAAATGTCGAAGGTTTAAGCTCTGCTCAGGTTAACCGATAAACTCTGAAGATGGTCAATATTGAACCACTCCCTCTGGATTTCTTCGATTAAAGTATGAGATTAAAAATTAATTTTTAAATCACAATTTATGTCCAAATCAAGTCTGGCGAGAAAATCGACATATTGACAGGTTAACATTTTAAAAATTAATAGGTCTCAAAGTTGGAAAATTGCGATAATTTCATCAAAACTAGACCTCATGTCGATGAAATTTACCATTCCACTGCTTCTGCCTTCTCCCTCACAAAAATCAAAGATCTATACCTATTTTCATTCGTTATAGTATAGAAAACAAGTTAAAAATACACTTTATTTTATTTTTTTTAATTTTGCAAAATTTTTTGTGCTAATTTCGCGGTTTTTGTGTCACTCCACAATTGAAAAGCAAGTAACTGAATTTGACATTGGGTTTCGAGAAAACAATTCTGCTTGAGTCCATTTATATAAAAAATTGTTGCGTTTTTTTTTAAGTAGAAGCCAGTAAAATACAACTTGAGATAAAAAACTGTTACATTTCTTTTTAGAATTTATTGAATGAAAACGAAAAATGTCGGAGAAAATATCAAATTTTAGAATAAGTTAGGATTTGTTCGAATTGGTTACCTTTGGCACGAACGGCCAATGAAACCGTCACACGCTGCCCGAATGTGTCTCTGCGGTATTTTTGGCCCATTTCCGGCGAAGCGCTTGTTTGAGGTGATCGATACTTTGGTATTTTTATGTGCCAACCTTGCTTTCCAAAATACTCCAGACATAATAGTCCAACGGATTGGTATCCGGAGTTTATGGTGGCCATTGTGCACTGTAATTGATGGGAGGAACCTCATTTTGTAACCATTCTTGGGTGGTCCATGTCCTGTTGGAAATGTCCAAGGTCTGCAGCCAAAATATTTGCATGCCCAAATATTTAATACATATTTAATACACCCTCCAGAATATTTTCGCGATAATATTCGGCGTTTATTCTGATGGCCGTCGCTTGAGTTCTGGTGGCCAACCGAAGGTGCACATTTTCAGCTGACCTCTTTGGCAAGTAAACACGATCATTTTGTTTGTTTACAAACTGCTGGACAACGAATGTTTTCTCATCGGAGAAAACCAAATTCAGCAGTTCACCACTTTCGGCCAAGCGAAGCAAATCTTTAGCTCTTTTGAGTCTATTTTCTTTCTGTTGCGGTGTTCTTGCACTTTTTTGAATTTCAATGGCTTTATCCCGAGCTCATTTTTCAATATTTGCTCACGAGCAATTTTTCGGCCACTGCGACGCGGGTTTCCATCAAGTCGCTTCTTTACTTTTCGAACCATTTCTGCCTGATTTTGCTGCTGTTCCGTCCACTTCCTCGACGCCGGGCTACGCTACTAGTATCACGGCACAAAAGATTTATTCACATCTAAATGCTGGAGTGCTCTAACGATATCCACTTGTTAGTAGTTACTGTATCCAAACATGATTTATTTCGAGTTGGAATAGGACGAATCCTTTCGGTTGTTTTAGAGAAACAGGTCATGAGTTCTTATTTATGTACCTGTTTCATTTTGTTCTCAGTCTTTCAAACTGGCAACATATTATAGAAGGGATTATAAACTATTCAAAGACTGTTATGATTAACTGATTTATTACTATTCCAGGAGGAGTGGTTAGGACACAAAACTGCTCCACAAAAACGGCAAACTAGTTCGGTAAATTTCTAATGCTTTTTATATAGACTCTAGTTCTTTTTTTTATTACTACAAATTTCAATGGAATAGCCATTCTCATATTGTCAAATAAGCAAAAAAAACGGCCCATATAATGCCCAGAGTCATCCACGAAAATCTCAAATATGCAAGCAATAAAAATTAATTCCAATTCACTTTTGCTCTTTCTTACAAAACATACAAATCACAATCCATGGGAAAAGCTCATAACTATAACAACGGGTTTTATTTAGCTAATAATACTTAGCGCAAAAAACGAAACGAAACGTAGAAGGCATAGGGCAGCGACCGCACACATAAAAAAGATTAGCATTGGAAATGTTTAACAAGAGCATCCCACAAAGGAAGTTCTAGCTGCGAGGAGAACGTGCAAAACCAAAAATAAAAACGGCATCTAATGGAAACTACACAGCACACACAAACATTTTGTAAAATTCGCTTTATTTTACTTGTTCCAGTCCATGAGAGTAACTGTGACAACATTCGACAAGTAACTGAAATGCTTGTTTCTATTCATGTTTTTCTTCTTGCTTTTCGCGCCCCTCTGATTCCATTCTCAAGTCTTGTCACAGCAAGTATCAGAAGCAAAGAACTGCGAAATGGAAAATCAAAAAACAACAACGATAACAAATAAATCATAAAAATGCAAATTATGTATATATTTTTTGTGTGTTTAAAGCCGAAGGAAAGAAAGAAAAAAACTCACTCAGAAGCGTGATATAGAACAACAAACATGTAAGGCAAGACGGCTTTGGAGACATGCATGATGAAGGCAATGATGATGACAGACAGACGGAAACGAGAGATTGGGGCTTAGCTGGGGTGGCGATGATGAGAAAGTGAAAGAACAAAATAATTCAGATAAAATAAAGCAAACACAATATTGTAGGGTTCGACCGATGAAGCGAAGAATAAGAAGAAAACTCACAAAATGTTTGTGATGCGATCCGAACGCAGAGCAATGTCTGCCTAAAAATTTATATTGCGATAATTACAAAGTATTTTTATGGATATATAAAAAGCAGGCAAACAATTCGTTTAAGTTCCATGTATTTGATTTGAAAAAAACTTATGATTTGAATGTGCATGGGGGTGTTATTAAAGTTCATTTAAAGATTTTTATAAAATTTGCCAGAAATGCCACCAATTTTACAAAAATTGGGAAAATTCAAGTGGAGGAGTGAAGTTTTCACCAGTGTTTATGTGGTCCACATTTCATTTGATTAAGGAAACAACTGCAACTGCTATCCACTTAAATGAGAAATAATAAATGTGACTGGACGAGAGGTAGGCTAGAAAGGGTGTTTACCTAAACTTATCTAGAGAGGGTATTTGTCTATTTTTGGACATTTTGGTGATTTTTTTTTTCAGATATTATAACCGAAATAATTGTGATTTGACACTTTAGATTCTAGGTGAATAAGTTGTCTTCCTATCGATATAGGTCCACGATTTCAAGTATTTGGAAAGTTTTGGCCAAATTTTTTAAGCTATTCCACTATATTCCGCCTTATACAGTGACCATCAAATGAGTGTACCCGAAAGTGTTCGGTGTTGCTATGTACCTGTGGTGGAACATAGTATGTTGAGGGTAAGATAAAAAACTGCAACAAAGTCAAACTCCATACTTTTTACATATTTTTAAATTTTATTGAATGAAAGCAAGGAATGTCGGAATGTTGCTCTACGGTATTTTGGCCCATTCCAAGCGAAGCGCACGCATGAGATGATCGACGCGTTGGTATTTTTAGGAAGGAATGTTTTCACAAGTGAAGCAACTCTTTAGCTCGTTAAGTCCATTTTATTACTGTAAGTTCTTGCACTTTTTCAATGGCTTTACCCAGAGCTCATTTTTCAATGGAATATTGCGATATGATAAGCTCACGAGTCAGTTCTCGGCCTCTGCGACGCGGGCTTCGATCAAGTCACTTCTTTACTTTTCGAACCCTTTCTGCTGATGTTCCTGTTTTCTTCCGTCCACTGTATCACGGTTCCGTCCACTGTATCACGGTTTGATTAAAATTATAACTAATCATGAATTGATATAAGGATACAATGATTCCGAAATCAATTTTACACTCGTGGAAAAATGAGGAAATCTTCTGAAAAGATTCGATTTTTTAAGATCAGCACAAAATAGATTTTAACAAATTTGCAGTTTCGCATTTCGGAATGTATTCGTAACGACTTAACTACCATTATTCACATGTATGTGGGGTAGTCTGCTGTAATTTAGCGCATTTTAAATAAATTGCACTCAAGGTCCGGAAAAGGTGTCGCATGAGAACGCCAGAGACGAGCGGCCGTTGAAAGTAGACTTAGTCACGCATGTCATGAAATACTCTTCATAGGCAGTAGTCTGGCCAAATAAAAAAGCAAAAACAAACAGCAAACAATCATGACAACTGGAGCAATTACAGTAACAGTTCATCAATTGACGACGACACCCCAGCGAATTGCGGAGAATAGAATTGCGAAAAGTCATTCACATTCAAAACAAAATTGTAGGTCGACCGGCATCGAATGTAAAATAGACAAAAAAAAACTTAGAAGAGTATCAATTTTTTGTTTGTATTGGCGACATTGCACAAGGATGTTAAAACCATCTTAAACTGATGTTGCTGGTTAACCACACAGTGCCATGTTGTTAGTATAGAAACCCCTTTTAAAAGCGCATCATTCTTGATTTGTTTGTTGTATTTTTATCTGTGATTTATTACGTCCCCTTTCCCATTGGCGGGTAATATTACAATTGTCACATAACAATGTCCTCAATTGGGGGTAATAATGCTGACATATTCTGCTTGTGAAGAAGCTGTAAATCACTTTCATTTATGCCCATCCAAATCAATCACAATTTAC